ATTCTGGAATATGACTAACACCCTGTTTCATAATTTAAAAGAGTGATTCACAGTAGCTGTTCACAGCATCTCTACATGTAGTACTAGCGTACAATGCTCATTCAGAGAAGTGAGAAGAGAACATTTTGTAATCTAAACCAAATCAAATCATAATTTGCAGATTGGGTGCAATTTAACATTGGCTATAGGTAGACAGATAAGTGGGCAGTGAAAAGAGTATGTGTCCTCTATGTTCAATAGAATGAGGGTTGAGACACTGAAAACTGTTTTCAGATGCAGTGGCTGTCCCACACTGCCTGCATACTGTAGAAGAGTAGTTGTCATGGAAACTGTTAGGCAAAGATGTCCCCTCATAGGGCTAAATCGTGTGGCCAATGCGATGGCTGCATGCATGCGAGTCTTGCCTCACTGCCACAGCCAGGACAGGAAGCCGGACTGTAACATAGGCCACAGGTCCACTTCTTGTAGACAAAGGCAGGACAGGGTGGTGCACAGCACACTCAGAACCCACATCATGCAGACAACAAGGTGAGTCTTGTTCTGCTTAAAAGTATAATAGTCTATGCCATCGGACATCATCTATTCGTTATTAATAACATCATCTTTGCTCTCCAATTTCAGCTTTGGTGATATCCAAATAGTTTTATGGAACTTCCATGTCGGCTACTAGTTAGCCGAGGTACATAAAAGGGATAGTTACAAACAGGACCCAAACTGTAGTTGGCCAACCTTCCTGATAGCCACTCTAGCACAGGTGGGATACAATGGGATTTGCAAAATCGTGTGCAAAACGAACCGCTTTCCAAACGTCACTCTTTTGTTGGGTCTTTTGCCCATTCATCAGCAAAGATAAAAACAGCATATGCTCGCCATACCTGTGCATCGCTACTTCCTGGTCATCTGTGTGCCAATATACATGTGACCAGTGACCCAACATATAGTGCCCCCTAGTGTACAAATTACGTGTAATTTACAAAGACAGACAAACTATGGACAACATAACACACAACAACCACATCCAGTGCATTCGGAAAGTATTCAGACCCCTTGACTTTTTCCACATTTTGTTATGTTACAGCTTTGTTCTTAAATGGATTAAAATGTTTTTTCCCTTCATCAATCGACACACAATACTCCATAATGACAAAGCAAAAACAGTTTATTTTTTGCTAATTTACTAAAAATAAAAAAACGTATATATCACATTTACATAAGTATTCAGACCCTCCCATTCTTCTCTGCAGATCCTATCAAGCTCTGCTACTGAAAAACATCCCCACAGTATGACGCTGCCACCACCATGCTTCACCGTAGGGATGGTACCAGGTTTCCTCCAGACGTGACGCTTAGCATTCAGGCCAAAGAGTTCAATCTTGGTTTCATCAGACCAGAGAATCCTGTTTCTCATGGTCTGAGAGTCTTTAGTTGCCTTTTGGCAAACTCCAAGCAGGCTGTCATGTGCCTTTTACTGAGGAGTGGCTTCCGTCTAGCCACTCTACCATAAAGGCCTGATTGGTGGAGTGCTGCAGAGATGGTTGTGGTCCTCTGTAGCTCAATTGGTAGAACATGGCGCTTGTAACGCCAGGGTAGTGGGTTCAATCCCCGGGACCACCCATATGTAAAAATGTATGCGCACATGACTGTAAGTCGCTTTGGATAAAAGCGTCTGCTAAATGGCATATTATATTATTAAGGTTCTCCCATCTCCACAAAGGAACTCTGGAGCTCTGTCAGAGTGAACATCAGGTTCTTGGTCACCTCCCTGACCAAGGCCTTTCTCTCCCGATTGCTCAGTTTGGCCGGGCGGCCAGCTCTAGGAAGAGTCTTGGTGGTTCCAAACTTCTTCCATTTAAGAATGATGGAGGCCACTGTGTTCTTGGGGACCTTCAATGCTGCAGACATTTTTTGCTACCCTTCCCCAGATCTGTCAACTGTGGGACCTTATATAGACAGGTGTGTGCCTTTCCAAATCATGTCCAATCAATAGAACTTTCCACAGGTGGACTCCAATCAAGTTGTAGAAACATCTCAAGGATGATCAATGGAAACAGGATACACTTGAGCTCAATTTCGAGTCTCATAGCAAAGGGTCTGAATACTTATGTAAATAAGGTATTTCTGTTTATTATTTTTTATAAATTTGCAAATATTTCAAAAAAACAGTTTTTGCTTTGTCATTATGGGGTATTGTGTGTAGATTGATGAGAAGAATAAAAAATATGTAATCAATTTTAGAATAAGGCTGTAACATAACAAAATGTGGGAAAAGTCAAGGGGTCTGAATACTTTCCGAATGCACTGTAAGTATGCTGAAATGGCTCCTACAGTAGTAATGGCATAGCCTTTATACCATTGGAACAATGCCAGCCTGCAAAGTAAGGTTACACACAAAGGCATCGTATCATAAGTTAACTCACATTGCAACTCATTCTGATGATTAAAGGGCAGGGCCAAAAAGATATAGAAGGATTATAAGGTGCCTCTTCTGCCTTGTGCACAGAAAACTAAGGCGTGTGATAAAAATTCCGTCTAGGAAAAAAAATCCCATATTCCTGTCACATTCCATAAAGGAGAAGGAACCATATGTGTGTAGTGAGGCCAGTCTTTTAGAGAGGAGGCCTGCTTTTTTCTATTCAGAATCAGAAATGAGCTGTAGCTCAATGGAGCTACATCATACGCCACATCAGAACTGCTTAAAGTCATACAATAATGAAGAGCAAATGCATGCAGAAGATCAATCGTCTACTGTTTTGAAGTCAGGGAAGGAGAAAGACCGAGATCGAAAATGAACAGAGCCATAATTTCATGCCTTTTTAGGCATGTTTCTAAATACACAATCCCCCCTCCCCCCACCCACACCCCAACAGACACACACACAAGCACACAGACACGTGCACATAAAAAAACGAACTTTGTGAGGCAGTTCATGATAGGTTTATGTACAAAGGAAGATCTGTGTTCCAGGAGTGACGCAGAGAGCAACATCCTGCAAAACCTCTCCCCGCCTGCAAGCTCATGGTCGACAGGTGATGTTACCATGGTAACCCCAGATATTTCCTCTCACATATGTATAATATATAAAAATCCAGACAGAGCAAACAAGTCCATTTCAAAGGCTGTTGGAGAGTTTTGTGTTTTTTGGGGAGGCTTTCTTTGCTTTCTTTATAGCCCAAGAACTGAGTTTAACAATGGGAGGTCCCCTTCCGTCTGACGCTGAAGGACAGAGGGCCTGATCCAAAAAGGATATTTCCTAGAGAGCTTAACTTCCTTGCCAAGAATATCATTGTGTTTATTGTTCATTCTTATCAATGCACAGCCTGTCTTAAAAACAACAAACAGAGATATAAATATTCAGCGCCATGCCCTTTATCTTTTCATTAGAAAAGTGTGCATGTGTGTGCGTGCACGTGTGTATGTCATTGAACGTGAAGGCAGCCTACACAGGGGCCTTTGTTGTAAACACACAGACAGAGAAACACACATGATGAAGACATTGGAAATGCAAAGAGACTCCAGAAAGCGTTGTATGTGGATGCATGTTTGTGTATGCGCACGTGCATGGGTTTACCTGTCTGTCCATCTGTCGGTCTCTGTGTGTGTGTGTATGTGTGTGTGTGTGTGTGTGAGAGAGAGAGAGAGAGAGAGAGAGAGAGAGAGAGAGAGAGAGAGAGAGAGAGAGAGAGAGAGAGAGAGAGAGAGAGAGAACATGAGTGTATAAATGAGTGAGAGAGATACACAGAGAGAGAGAGAGAGAGAGAGAGAGAGAGAGAGAGAGAGAGAGAGAGAGAGAGAGAGAGAGAGAGAGAGAGATACACAGAGAGAGACAGATGGGGAGAGAGAGAGAGAGCGAGAGAGGGACAGAGGGAGAGAGAGAGAGAGAGAGAGCTTATGTGTATCACATTCAGACCATATCTAAGGATGCTGTCTAACAGATGCAGTTGCAATGATGGATGTGAGATAATGATGTTTACTCATGCAATGACGATGAGGGGATGTTTCACCTTCAGCGTAGTAGACCATAGGGAGAATAATCCACACATCCAAGAAAGGCATAAGCATATTTGGGGTCATGGGCATGCTGACAAATTACTATTCACATGCATTCAGATTAGGGGTTTATTCAGTGAGGTTTCATATGAAAATAATCCACCATGATCAAAATAATAATATGATGTATTATTTATTCTGTGGGTCGACGCAACACTACCACAGAGTGACAGGACAGCTAGCGCACCTCACATAATGAACGTTACCCAGGTGACTGTAGCATACCTGTTTTTCCAGCATTATCATTCTCTCAGATTCATGACCTTCTTAAAATGTCTTCTCGTGCACGTTCAGAATAGATTCTCATTTCTTCTGTGCCGGCATCCAACATGTTGATTATCCACAGTGATGTTCGTGTACCAAATCAGCGAATGGTATCCTTGTGGAAATGTCCTCAGTGAGTCCAGCACCACCTTGAGATGGTGTGTAGTAGGATACTGTAACAGTCTATTCAGCTATTAGTCGAAACTTCACAATACATTGCAATCGATCTGCATTTCATTTCATTCTCAAGCCTCCCTCCTGCAACCATGTGCAATGCGCATTGGTCTGATTTTAAAAATGTAATGATGACATTTCTTTCTTTGGAATTGTTAATTTAATCCAGCCAAAATAGTCATACAAACACGGGTCATATAATTTCTGATACTATCCTTTTACTTTGGTGTACATCGCGTCAAGCATTGAAGCATTATGTCGACTGATGCTCAAAATAAACTTTTAGAGCAAATATGATTTACAGCTGTGAACTGCGAATTGTTTTAAATGTCCAATCTTTCGAATCCAGGTCGTGACCAGCCAAGACGCAGAAAAAAATAGAATTTACAGGATGCGTTAGCTCAAGCGTATAGAAAGTTCATGCTCTTGAACATCCCACCAAATCGCATTACCAAGAGCGCAAGTGCAGCGTCCATACGATGTTCTTGAACAAGTCCCAACGCACAGAATTGTGGGAATTTATGTAAAATTAAGATGGCAGCTGCCTGTGCGAGAACTCTCGGTAAGGTCGGCTGGCACATTTTGGAGTCTCCACCATGTCGTGCTGAGAATATTGCCTCCCTGATTCCAAGGGTCCCGCTACATGGGTCGAGCAGGGCATACAGAACGGGTGGTGCAGGATTCCGTTCCAAACTGCTCTTCAGCACACCTCTGCGCGGTGGCAGGGTCCTGGGGTGTGCGTTCCTGTTTGGAGGGGGGCTTGGCTTATATCAAACAATAAAGCTCTCCGTCCAACATCACCTTGCTGAAGAAGATGTCAAGGTAATAATACTGGGCAAGAATATTAGCTATGAAAGGTATTTGCATTCATTGCCATGTCTACCTGAAGCAAAGTAATCTTATGTTTGTCAGGTGGATGTTTGTCAGCTAACAACCTCTGGTGTGCTTGTCAAGTAGCTTGCCCAATGTTACATCCTCAAATGTGGCAAATTTTGCATTGTAAATGTATATGTAACGTTAATTAATGAAATTGACTTTTAACCGACTTCTCTGTCTTCCTCAGGCTTCTGTTGGTGGCCTGAAGTTGACCCTGTATCAGTACAAGACCTGCCCGTTCTGCAGTAAAGTGCGAGCTTTCCTAGACTACCATGGGCTTCCATATGAGATTGTGGAGGTCAACCCCGTCATGAGGAAGGAAATCAAGTGGTCAACTTACAGAAAAGTGCCAATCGTGATGGTGAATGGTGATGTGGTAAGAGGGGACACAGTCACTCTGCATTACTTGGTATTATAGTTACAACTTACAGGTGTGTATGGGATGATGGAAGACTTGTCATGTGTTCTCTCTCTCTCCTTCTGTGCTCTTGACTCATCAGCAACTGAATGACTCCTCAGTAATAATCAGCGCGTTGAAGACACAGTTGATGAGCAAGTAAGTAACTACCTCCCGAGAAGTGTTCTTGTGTTTTCTTTACATGAAGTGGTCTGATTTCTCTATCTCCCCCTGCAGGGATAAAACCATCGCAGAGATTCTACGCTGTTACCCAGAGATGAAGGCCGTCAATGAGAAGGGGAAAGAGGTGACTGAGTTCAACAACAAGTACTGGGTGATGGTGAATGAAGCTGAAGGTCAGACGATGTACCCCGAGAAAGATTCCAGAAAGTAGGTGAACACATTAGGTGCCAAATTACTGCTGGCCATATAATGACCAAAAACCATTCCGTGCATGGGTCATTAATGAAAATCTCTCTGAGGGTGTACATACTGTGCATAACTACTCTTTTAGATTATGATATTGCTTCTTCCAGTTACTGATTGGCATGCACCCATCAAGAGCAGATTGGCAAATATACAGTAAATTGAGATCACATAACTAAACTAAACAAAAAGGAGAAACTATACCATGGAACAAAGATAAATGATATAAAGAATGATAGTAAAAAGCTCTGGAGTACCTTAAATGAAATTCTAGGCAAAAAAGCGAACTCAAACATTGAGGCAGATGGCTTGTTCATAACAAAACCCTTTGATATTGCCAACCACTTAAATAACTTTTTATGTTGAAAAGATTAGCAAATTTAGGCATGACATGCAAACAACAAACGCTCAGCCTTCATATTTATGCATAACGGACCAAATAATGAAAGACAAGCACTGTAGTTTTGGGTTCTGCAAAGTTGGTGTGGAATAGGTGAACAAAATTGTTGCTATACATAAATAAGGACAAGCATCCTGGTACCGACAACCTGGATGGTACATTGCTGAAGTTGGTAGCGGAATACATTGCGACACCTGTTTGCCACATCTTCAATTTAAGCCTAGAAGACGGTGTGTGCCCTCAGGCCTGGAGGGAGGCAAAGGTCATTCCGCTGGCCAAGAATGGCAAAGCACCCTTTGATGGTTCAAACAGCCAACCAATCAGCCTGTTACCGGTGCTTAGCAAACTTTTGGAAAAATCGTGTTAGACCAAATTCAATGTTATTTTACAGAAAACAAATTAAGACTTTCAGCATGCTTATAGGGAAGGGCACCTAACATGCTCTGCACTGACACAAATGATTGATGATTGGCTGAAATAAATTGATAAAAATAAGATTGTGAGAGCTGTTTTGTTACATTTCAGTGCAGCATTTGATATCATTGATCATAACCTATTGCTGAAAACTTAGGCGTTATGGATTTACATCCTCTGCCTTATCAGTGATTGAGGGTTACCTATTTATACTGAACAAAAATATGAACGCAACATGTAAAGTGTTGGTCCCATGTTTCATGAGCTGAAATAAAAGATCCCAGAAATGTTCCATAGGCACAAAAAGCTTATTTCTCAGAAATGATGTGCACACATTTGTTTACATCCCTGTTAGTGAGCATTTCTCCTTTGCCAAGATAATCCACCTGACAGGTGTGGCATATCAAGAAGCTGAGTAAACAGCATGATCATTACACAGGTGCTTCTTGTGCTGGGGACAATAAAAGGCCACTCTAAAATGTGCCATTTTGTCACACAACACAATGCCACGTGTCAAGTTTTGAGGGAGCTTGCAATTGGCATGCTGACTGCAGGAATATCCTCCAGAGCTGTTGCCAGAGAATTTAATGTTCATTTCTCTACCATAAGCCGCCTCCAACGTCGTTTTAGAGAATTTGGCGGTACGGCCAACCAGCCTCACAACCGCCAATGACGTGTACCCACACCAGCCCAGGACCTCCACATCCGGATTCTTAACCTGCGGGATCGTCTGAGACCAGCCACCCGGACAACTAATGAAACGGTGGGTTTGCACAACCAAATACTTTCTGCACAAACTGTCATAAACCGGCTCTGGAAAGCTCATCTGCGTGCTTGTTGTCCTCACCAGGGTCTTGACCTGACTGCAGTTCGGCGTTGTAACCGTATTCAGTGGGTAAATGCTCACCTTTGATGGCCACTGGCACACTGGAGAAGTGTGCACATTATGGATTAATCCTGGTTTCAACTGTACCGGGCAGATAGCAGACAGTGTGTATGGCATTGTGTAGGCGAGCGGTTTGCTGATGTCAATGTTGTGAACAGAGTGCCCCATGGTGGGGTTATGGTATGGGCAGGCATAAGCTACGGACAACGAACACAATTGCATTTTATCAATGGCAATTTGAATGCACAGAGATACCGTGACGAGATCCTGAGGCCCATTGTCGTGCCATTCATCCTCCTCCAACACCTAATGTTTCAGCATGATAATGCACTGTCCCATGTCACAAGGATCTGAACATAATTCCTGGAAGCTGAAAATGTCCCAGTTCTTCCACGGCCTGCATACTCACCAGACATGTCACCCATTGAGCATGTTTGGGATGCTATGGATCGACGTGTATGACATCGTGTTCCAGTTCCCGCCAATATCCAGCAACTTCGCACAGCCATTGAAGAGGAGTGGGACAACATTCCACAGGCCATAATCAACAGCCTGATCAACTCTATGAGAATGAGATGTCGCGCTGCATGAGGCAAATGGTGGTCACACCAGCTACTGACTGGGTTTCTGATCCACGCCCCAATTTTTGTTTTGCTTAAAGGTATCTGTGACCAACAGATGCATATCTGTATTCCCAGTCATGTGAAATCCATAGATTAGGGCCTAATGAATGTATTTCAATTGACTGTTTTCCTTATGATCTGCAACTCAGTCAATTCTTTGAAATTGTTGCATATTGTTTTTTTGTTTTTTTTTCAGTGTATTAGAACACAGTTTTCTTTAATGGAAGTCTCTCTAATGCGAATTCGGTTGAGTGGTGTACCATATTGTCTATTTTTCCTAATTACCTTCCACTGACCTTTGAGTAAAGCCTGTGTGTCTGTATGCTGATGACTCAACCATATACACGTCAGCTACGACAGTCAAATAAATAATGGATACCCTTAACATAGCGCTCCAGTCAGTTTTAGAATGGGTAACTAGCAATAGGCTGGTGCTCAATAAAAGCATCGTTTTTTGGACAAATCACTCACTCAACCCTAACCTCATCTAGATCTATTACTGAATAATGTGTTGATTGAGCAAGTTGAGGAGACTAAACTTCTGGGTGTAACCCTAGATGGCAAGCTGGCATGGTCAAAACATATACTCAGTGGTTGCTAAAATGGGAAGAGGTCTGTCCATGATAAGGCGTTGCTCTCCTTTCTTGACATCTACATCAACCAGGCAGGTCCTACAGGGCCTAGTGTTGTCAGTGGTGTGTCAAAATTGCAGTTGGTCCAGAACAGAGCAGCGTGTATTGCACTTACTGTAGATATAGACGGAGGGAGAATGTCAGTGGTATTCATGTCAATCTCTCCTGGCTCAAAGTTGAGGAGAGATTGACTGCATCACGATTGGTCTTTGTGCGAGGTGTTGATGGGTTAAAGGTACCGAACTGTCTGCACATTGTTCGGACACCCATCGGTACCACACAAGACGTGCAGCCAGAGGTCTCTTCACAGTTCCCAGGTCCAGAACAGAGGCTGTGAAACACACAGTATTAAAAAGAGCCATGACTACATGCAACTCTGCCACCCCTGGTAACTCAAGCTAGCAATAAAACCAGATTTAAAAAACGGATAAAAGAACACCTTAAGGCACCAAGGGGACTGTCAAGACAGACACTTTTGTATATATAGTGTATATAAAAATATGAGGACACCCCTTCAAATTAATGGATTCAGCTATTTCAGCCACACCCGTTGCTGACAGATGTATAAAATCGCCCACACAGCCATGCAATCACCATAGACAAACATTGGCAGTAGAATGGCCTTACTGAAGAGCTCAGTGCCTTACAATGTGGCACCGTCATAGGATGCCACCTTTCCAACAAGTCAGTTCGTCAAATGTCTGCCCTGCTAGAGCTGCCCCGGTCAATTGTACAGTGGGGAAAAAAAGTATTTAGTCAGCCACCAATTGTGCAAGTTCTCCCACTTAAAAAGATGAGAGAGGCCTGTAATTTTCATCATAGGTACATGTCAACTATGACAGACAAATTGAGAAAATAAATTCCAGAAAATCACATTGTAGGAATTTTAATGAATTTATTTGCAAATTATGGTGGAAAATAAGTATTTGGTCACCTACAAACAAGCAAGATTTCTGGCTCTCACAGACCTGTAACTTCTTCTTTAAGAGGCTCCTCTGTCCTCCACTCGTTACCTGTATTAATGGCACCTGTTTGAACTTGTTATCAGTATAAAAGACACCTGTCCACAACCTCAAACAGTCACACTCCAAACTCCACTATGGCCAAGACCAAAGAGCTGTCAAAGGACACCAGAAACAACATTGTAGACCTGCACCAGGCTGGGAAGACTGAATCTGCAATAGGTAAGCAGCTTGGTTTGAAGAAATCAACTGTGGGAGCAATTATTAGGAAATGGAAGACATACAAGACCACTGATAATCTCCCTCGATCTGGGGCTCCACGCAAGATCTCACCCCGTGGGGTCAAAATGATCACAAGAACAGTGAGCAAAAATCCCAGAACCACACGGGGGGGACCTAGTGAATGACCTGCAGAGAGCTGGGACCAAAGTAACAAAGCCTACCATCAGTAACACACTACGCCGCCAGGGACTCAAATCCTGCAGTGCAAGACGTGTCCCCCTGCTTAAGCCAGTACATGTCCAGGCCCGTCTGAAGTTTGCTAGAGTGCATTTGGATGATCCAGAAGAGGATTGGGAGAATGTCATATGGTCAGATGAAACCAAAATATAACTTTTTGGTAAAAACTCAACTCGTCGTGTTTGGAGGACAAAGAATGCTGAGTTGCATCCAAAGAACACCATACCTACTGTGAAGCATGGGGGTGGAAACATCATGCTTTGGGGCTGTTTTTCTGCAAAGGGACCAGGACGACTGATCCGTGTAAAGGAAATAATGAATGGGGCCATGTATCGTGAGATTTTGAGTGAAAACCTCCTTCCATCAGCAAGGGCATTGAAGATGAAACGTGGCTGGGTCTTTCAGCATGACAATGATCCCAAACACACCGCCCGGGCAACGAAGGAGTGGCTTCGTAAGAAGCATTTCAAGGGCCTGGAGTGGCCTAGCCAGCTCCAGATCTCAACCCCATAGAAAATCTTTGGAGGGAGTTGAAAGTCCGTGTTGCCCAGCGACAGCCCCAAAACATCACTGCTCTAGAGGAGATCTGCATGGAGGAATGGGCCAAAATACCAGCAACAGTGTGTGAAAACCTTGTGAAGACTTACAGAAAACGTTTGACCTGTGTCATTGCCAACAAAGGGTATATAACAAAGTATTGAGAAACTTTTGTTATTGACCAAATACTTATTTTTCACCATAATTTGCAAATAAATTCATAAAAAAGTCCTACAATGTGATTTTCTGGATTTTTTATCTCTCATTTTGTCTGTCATAGTTGACGTGTACCTACGATGAAAATTACAGGCCTCTCTCATCTTTTTAAGTGGGAAAACTTGCACAATTGGTGGCTGACTAAATACTTTTTTCCCCCACTGTATCTAGGAGCAACAACGGCCTCAGCTACGAAGTGGTAGGCCACACAAGCTCAGAAAGGGACCACCGAGTGCTGAAGCGCGTAAAAATCATCTGTCCTCGGTTGCAACACTCACTACCAAGTTGCAAACTGCTTCTGGAAGAAACGTCAGCACAAGAACTGTTTGTCGGGAGCTTCATGAAATGGGTTTCCATGGCCGAGCAGCTGCACACAAGCCTAAGATTACCATGCGCAATGCCAAGCGTCGGCAATGCCCCTGTGCACAAAGCGAGGTCCATACAGAAATGGTTTGGCGAGATCGGTGTGGAAGAACTTGACTGGCCTGCACAGAATCCTCAACTCAACCCTATCGAACACCTTTGGGATGAATTGGAACACCGACTGCGAGCCAGGCCTAATCGCCCAACATCCGTGCCCGACCTCACTAATACTCTTGTGGCTGAATAGAAGCAAGTCCCCACAGCAATGTTCTAACATCTAGTGGAAATCCCATAAGAGTGGAGGCTGTTATAGCAGCAAAGGGGGGACCAACTCCATATTAATGCCCATGATTTTGGAATGAGATGTTCGACGAGCAGGTGTCCACATACTTTTGGTCATGTAGTGTATCTTGTATTTTATTTGTTCGTTTTTTTTTCTGTTTGGACCCCAGAAAGAGTAGTAATTGGGGATCCTGATAAAAATCCTAAATGTCAAGATTCAGTTAGGATTCAGTTAGGCTTAAATGTTAAGATTCAGTTAGGCTTCAGTTAGGCTTAAATGTCCCTTTCTCTTATCTTTCCCTTCAATCTGCTTCAGGGAGGAGATCAAATGGCGTAAGTGGGCAGATGATTGGCTGGTTCATCTGATCTCGCCCAATGTTTACCGGACCACTGGAGAGGCCCTGGCCTCCTTTGACTATATCGTCCGTGAGGGCAAGTTTGGCACTTATGAGGGCTTCTTTGCAAAGTATGTTGGAGCAGCTGCCATGTTTGTCATCTCAAAAAGACTGAAAAGTAGGTGGGTGCCCCATAAAAAAAATATATGATGATCTGCTCTTTAAGGTTTTGTACATGTATACGGTTTTTGTAAATTGAGTGCTTTTTCTGAATAAGTGGACTTTTCTGAATAACCAGCCAATGTTTGGTGATGAGTTTGTTTTTATATTAAACGCCTCTATCCTGCAGACACAACCTGCAGGATGACGTGAGACAGGATCTGTACAAGGCAGTCAATGAGTGGGTGGTGGCCATTGGCAAGAAGAGGAAGTTCATGGGTGGAGACCAGCCCAATCTGGCTGACCTGGTAAGAGCACCACATGTCATGTGAAGTATTATCTTAGACTTCTAGAACTGCAGATTTGCTGATGACAGACATTTATTTGGCTTTTTGTTTACTATAGCCAAAATGTGTTTGCTAATTATGTCCACGGCTCTCCTCTCTGCAGGCAGTGTATGGGATCCTGAGAGTGATGGAGGGTCTTGAGGCCTGGGATGACATGATGGAGAACACCAAGGTCAAGAGCTGGTACAAACGAATGGAGAAAGCCACGAGGGCCAAAACTGACCCTGCTCTAAACATTGACCAGCACTAGGAGATCTGATTCAATAGTACTTCCAGCCCTCACTAAATCAGGAGATGTCATGAGATGTGAAAAGTGATTTGCATTAAGGAAAGCTGGTATGATGGGAGAAATTGACTTCTCTAGCTAATTTGGCAAAAGGCCAACCTCTTGATTTATTTCCTGTGAAAATGCACCCAAATGATCTGCGTTGATTTGCTTGAATAAACTGGAAGCAGCAAGCCTTTTAGTTGTAGATCCTTGGTTACTGTGGCATTCTGTCTACCTGGTGTGTCAAGGCTGCAGTGACATGCACAATGTACACTGAGTATACACAACATTAAGAACTCTTTCAATGAGAAAGTCGATATTAGGAAGGTGTTTCTAATGTTAGGTATACTCAGTGTATATAACATAAGTAAAACCAAATTAGCAGCTTTAAATTTACATCAGTGTAAAACATTGTCATATACCTACTACACGCAGTCTTAGCATTTTGGATTACATTTTTTCCCCCCATTCTATTTTCCAAGCTAACATGACTTTTTATTAGCTACAGTTGAAGTCGGAAGTTTACATACACCTTAGCCAAATACATTTAAACTCAGTTTTTCACAATTCCTGACATTTAATCCTAGTAAAAATTCCCTGTCTTAGGTCAGTTAGGATCACCACTTTATTTTAAGAATGTGAAATGTCAGAATAATAGTAGAGAGATTTATTTCAGCTTTTATTTATTTCATCACATTCCCAGTGGGTCAGAAGTTTACATACACTCAATTAGTATTTGGTAGCATTGCCTTTAAATTGTTTAACTTGGGTCAAACGTTTCGGGTAGCCTTCCACAAGCTTCCCACAATAAGTTGGGTGAATTTTGGCCCATTCCTCCTGACAGAGCTGGTGTAACTGAGTCAGGTTTGTAGGCCTCCTTGCTCGCACACGCTTTTTCAGTTCTGCCCACTCATTTTCTACAGGATTGAGGTCAGGGCTTTGTGATGGCCACTCCAATACCTTAACTTTGTTGTCCTTCCTGACTGATGTCTTGAGATGTTGCTTCAATATATCCACATCATTTTCCTTCCTCATGATGCCATCTATTTTGTGAAGTGCACCCGTCCCTCCTGCAGCAAAGCTGCCACCCCCGTGCTTCACGGTTGGGATGGTGTTCTTCGGCTTGCAAGCCACACCCTTTTTCCTCCAAACATAACGATGGTCATTATGGCCAAACAGTTATATTTTTGTTTCATCTGACCAGAGGACATTTCTCCAAAAAGTACGATCTTTGTCCCCATGTGCAGTTGCAAACCATAGTCTGGCTTTTTTATGGCAGTTTTGGAGCAGTGGCTTCTTCCTTGCTGAGCGGCCTTTCAGGTTATGTCGATATAGGACTCGTTTTACTGTGGAAATAGATACTTTTGTACCTGTTTCCTCCAGCATCTTCACAAGGTCCTTTGCTGTTGTTCTAGGATTGATTTGCACTTTTCGCACCAAAGTACGTTCATCTCTAGGAGACAGAACGCGTCTCCTTCCTGAGCGGTATGACGGCTGCGTGGTCCCATGGTGTTTATACTTACGTACTATTGTTTGTACAGATGAACGTGGTACCTTCAGGCGTTTGGAAATTGCTCCCAAGGATGAACCAGACTTGTGGAGGTCTACAATTTTTTATCTGAGGTCTTGGCTGATTTTCCCATGATGAGGTCTTGGCTGATTTTCCCATGATGTCAAGCAGAGGCACTGAGTTTGAAGGTAGGCCTTGAAATACATCCACAGCTACACCTCCAATTGACTCAGATTATGTCAATTAGCCTATCAGAAGCTTCTAAAGCCATGACATAATTATCTGGAATTTTCCAAACTGTTTAAAGGCACAGTCAACTTAGTGTATGTAAACTTCTGATCCACTGGAATTGTGATAGTGAATTATAAGTGAAATAATCTGTCTAAACAATTGTTGGAAGAATTACTTGTGTCATGCACAAAGTAGATGTCCTAACCAACTTGCCAAAACTATAGTTTGTTAACAAGAAATGTGTGTAGTGGTTGAAAAACCAACCTAAGTGTATGTAAACTTCCGACTTCAACTGTACATCTGATAAGCAGAGTGCTTTTCCTCAGGGATGGAATTCCCCTAAAAAAATGCTAAAAATAGGAATTACACAGTAATCCTGTTTCAGGATTCCCTTTCATCTGTTAATGTCTTGAGGGTTCCAGTCATAGCCAGATTAATTACATTATTTATTTATCAGATAATTCTTATCAACTATGCAGGATATAGCTGGGTGTTAGAAGTTAAATGATTTATAATTTGGCAGCATCCATTGGACAAACTGGTTAACTGTCAATTTGGGTGGAATTAGTACCCATAAACTCCTAACCAATTTCTAAATTAAACACTGGGTATTGAAAACCACCCAATGATGTGCATACATGTAAAAATATTCAATAAAAAAGGAAACCGATAATGTATCATGTTTTAATTCAGGAACACTGTACATTGTTCTATTTTGCGCCACGAGGTATTACATTAATTTTCCAAGGAGCAAGATATGGCTCTTACATTTCATACTTTACAAGTTACACCTGTATTCTCATTTAAATGTTCAATACAACCTCAACAGCAGCTCAGCACCAACTGAGAGACAGTGGTATGTATATACACTATATAAAAAAAAAAATGAAGAGCAAATTATGTCAACGTACAAAATATTAACAAATGTTGGTGGACTACCTTCCATTATCTATGACAACACTGACAATATGGCTTGAATAGTGGATGTCATGATTGAGTAACTGGTTCTAAAAGTAATCAACAAAAAATTCATAAGAATACAAAGACGAGGTAAAGGAAGTCACATTCCCAAAAACTTAAAGGACATAAATCCATCCAATAAAAATAGCACATGGTTAAAATCTACAAGTATTGCAATATGAATTAGGTGAACCCAAAGATTATCACTGCAGTGAATGAGACAGGAAAAAAACCTTGAACCATATACAGCAAGAAGCCACATGAACTACCTTGATAATGATCTTCTCAAGAAGGGTAAGAAACAATGGTTATGACTCAGTAGGTTTAGCACGACCATTGGATAAAATGGTTACTGTTGCAGTCACGATAGAGGCCAATTTATATGCAAATTTGGTTTTGGCATACTATACAGTGCATTCGGAAAGTATTCAGACCCCTTGACCTTTTCCACATTTTGTTACATTACAGCCTTAATAAAAATCCTCGTCAATCTACACATTTCTCATAATGACAAAGCAAAAACATTTTTTTTGAATTTTTGTGCAAATTTATAAAAAATAAAAAACAGATACCTTATTTACATAAGTTTTCAGACCTTTTGCTATGAGACTCGAAATTGAGCTCAGGTGCATCCTGTTTCCATTGATCATCCTTGATGTTTCTACAACTTGATTGGAGTCCACCTGTGGAAAATTCTATTGATTGGACATGATTTGGAAAGGCACACACCTGTCTATATAAGGTCCCACAGTTGACGGTGCATGTCAGAGCAAAGACCAAGCCATGAGGTCGAAGGAATTGTCCGTAGAGCTCAGAGACATGATTGTGTCAAGGTACAGAACTGGGGAAGGGTACCAAAACATTTCTACAGCATTGAAGGTCCCCAAGAACACAGTGGTCTCCATCCATTAAATGGAAGAAGTTTAGAACCACCAAGACTCTTCCTAGAGCTGGCCGCCCTGCCAAACTGAGCAATTGGGGGAGATGGACCTTGGTCAGGGAGGTGACCAAGAACATGATGTTCTCTCTGACAGAGCTCCAGAGTTCCTCTGTGGAGATGGGAGAACCTTCCAGAAGGACAACCATCTCTGCAGCACTCCACCAATCAGGCCTTTATGGTAGAGTGGCTAGACGGAAGCCACTCCTCAGTAAAAGGCACATGACAGTCCACTTGGAGTTTGCCAAAAGGCACCTAAAGGACTCTCAGACCATTAAAAACAAGATTCTCTGGTCTGATGAAACCAAGATTGAACTCTTTGGCCTGAATGCGAAGCGTCACGTCTGGAGGAAACCAGGCACCATCCCTACCGTGAAGCATGGTGGTGGCAGCATCATGCTGTGGGGATGTTTTTCAGCGGCAGGGACTGGGAGACTAGTCAGGATTGAGGGAAAGATGAACGGAGCAAAGTACAGAGAGATCCTTGATGAAAACCTGCTCCAGAGCGCTCAGGACCTCAGACTGGGGCGAAGGTTCAACTTCCAACCGGACAACGACCCTAAGCACACAGCCAAGACAACGCATGAGTGGCTTCGGGACAAGTCTCTGAATGTCCTTGTGTGGCCCAGCCAGAGCTCGGACTTGAACCCGATCTAACATCTCTGGAGAGACCTGAAAATAGATGTGCAACGACGCTCCCCATTCAACCTGACTGTGCTTGAGAGGATCTGCAGAGAATAATGGGAGAAACTCCCCAAATACAGGTGTGCCAAGCTTGTAGCGTCATACCCAAGAAGACTCAAGGCTGTAATCGCTGCTAAAGGTGCTTCAACAAAGTACTGAGTAAAGGGTTTGAATACTTACGTAAATGTGATATTTATGTTTTTGCAAAAATGTCTAAACCTGTTTTTGCTTTGTCATTATGGGGTATTTGGTGTAGATTGATGAGGGGAAAAAACTATTTAATCCATTTTTGAATAAGGCTGTAACGTAACAAAATGTGGACAAAGTTAAGGGGTCTGAATACTTTACGAATGCACTGTACATCATAGGAGGTTGGTGGCACCTTAATTGGGGAGAATGGGCTCGTGGTAATGGCTGGAGCGGAATAATGAGCCGTCCTCGTGTTATACATACTATAAACAAATTGATCAGGATATAGTGCATCATTGCAAACATAACTTCCACATCTAGACATAGCTCCTCTACCTAATGCATTCTATGAGTTGTAGACTGTCACTGGGGTCACACAGCCTTGAATCCAGGCTTATTTGTTATTGTCCAACAAACCTTCCATCCTTCCGTCCCCCAATTAGGATCTCCAGAAGTGGGAGCTCAGCTGGCCTTTGGGGGGAGGGATATGCTTGCTTCTTAATGAACTCTGATAGGAAGATAAAAATAAAACACGATCACTTTGACCAATTGTAACAGAGTTCAGTAGGTTTTAAAGAGTGCAGTGTCAGTTCACAAATGGTGCACAATACCAAAGACAGTACAGTATGAAGATAGTCAGAAAGTGCTTCTCCAATAGAATTCCCTGATCACGCTTGTAGGCGATGTCATGGTGATCTTAGCTCATACGCAGAAACATGGAATCGGGTCTAACGGTCGCGCCGAACTGCGCATGTCCAGGCCATCAAATCAAAGGCACTCCTTCGATATAAAGTTGTTTTTGTCAGTTTGTCACTTTCACCAGGTTGGATTAATAACATGTTCAACTACTTAAGACATTGACTCGAATCTAGGTTGCCTTTAGATTTCGAGAATATTAACTAAGGAAGAATTTGTCACTTCCCTCATTGACTTCTCAAACCCCAAACCTAGGCCTTGTCTGCTTGGTCAGTTTCACAAGCCTTGCAGCTCACTCACATCCAGGAACTACTTCAACCTTGTGACTGAGCCCGTCTGGCCTTGGCTGGTGAAAGCTTCAATCCTGAGAGAGAAGAAATGAAAACATGAGATCTGAGTATTGAAAGAGTGTCTAAGGTAAACTGTACCACAATGCTACACCAGATTATATTTTGTTTCAATGTAAAACTGAACTGCTGAGAGTGGTGATTGTACCTTGGCAAGAACTCCTCTTTGATTAACAGAATGAGCTTCCAAAACTGAACCTGATACTGCTTCATCAGGGCGTTGCCACAGACTTAAGGGAAGACAGAACATCAGTGACCTACATTAAAATGTCTAATCCAGAGACAGTCTTTGGAGAGGTGTCAGACTTGACTTAATCACCTCTAGGAAGTCAAAAAGGAGTGTTGCCGTGACGTCTGCCAGGGGTGCCATGTTCAGCATCTGAGCCAGCCAGCGCCAGCTGTGGTTCATCCCATGTGGGTCAGGCTGGAGGGGTGGACACAAAGAGGAATAATGATGATAATATGGTCAGCCTAATAACATTATACAAAACGGGGTGATATTAGCATCCGTTAGGTAAATACTGTAAGATTGCTCATACCCCCTGCTTGGAGACATAAGGCCATCTGAGCTGTATGATAGCAGCATAGAGGCGGATCATTCCTGACCACCTCTTCAAAAAGCTGTCCTGAACCTCCACCCCTCCGTCTTCCACACGGTAGCCTAAGATTCTGATGGGACACAGAACAACACTTCAGACAGAGAAACTAACCTCTTGTTAAGATCGTGGAAGCAACACACTTGAAATGCAGCATAGGTGTTTTCAAACCAAAGTCATGGAATTACTTCAATTTTTGTTTCATTAGTTAGTTCCAGATGCATTGCAAAACAGTGATGCCTCACTGACTGTGCCATCCTTCATAGGTGGGTAGTGGGGCACTTCTTGTGAAGGTGGGCGAGGATGAGAGCTCCCACACCCCAGAGGCCACCACAGCGATGGGGAAGGCTGCCTCGTGGTGGGACGACACCTCCTCCTCTCCCTGTTTCTGGAGACACACATTGACAAGGAAGCATTTAAGAGACCTATGAAAACAAGACACTACAATCTCTTTTATTCGTATGACAAAGGAATTATAGAACATAACATTAGGCACTGTATGGAAGACGTATTGGATTGTAAAGAGACAATACAGACCAATAGTCCTGTGTCTCCACCAGTTCAAATTCAAGGTCATGTGAACTCACCACAAACTTCTCTGCCAGTTTGTAGCTGACAAAGTCCATGCCGTTGGGATGCTGGGAGGTGGAGACTGACTTCCCTCCGGACACCACCAATCGCCCAGACAACAGCTTGTCAATCTTGTCAAAAATGTCACTGAGCTTGCAACCTGGGTATTTGACAAACATGCCGCAAACAATTTCATTCTCACATTTGTTATAGCAATGTTTACCTTCTTACACTGTACCATAGATTAGTGTCATTATTAGCCTCTGATCCCTCTCCATAACCCACAGACGCACCTGAGATACTTGAGATCTGGCTGACAGGGATGGCGGCTGCCTTCTGGAGCTCCATTCTTACCTCCTTTGTCTGAAACATAAAAAAAACAAGGTAATAGGAATGTTGCCATTCATTTTTATTGTGAAGGTGTAGTATCATAAAGTGGGTACTGCATGTTCCTATAACGGCATTGCTCATCCATGCAGTTTCAACCAACCTGGATATCCTTAGAGTTGTTCAGGCCTTCAAAATACTGTGCACACTGGTTAGCCGAGACCTGCAGCTCTTGGTACCACTTTAGAGTACTCTGCTCAGCTTTAGTCTGCAGGAAAAACCGGGTTTTATTTTTTTTTACTTTTACCCCTTTTTCTCCCCAATTCTGTGATATCCAATTGGTAGTTACAGTCTTGTCCCATCACTGCAACTCCCGTATGGACTCGGGAGAGGCGAAGGTCGAGAGCCATGCGTCCTCCGAAACACACTGCTCTTGACACACTGCTTGCTTAACCCGGAAGCCAGCCACACCAATGTGTCGGAGGAAACACTGTACAACTGGCGACCGAAGTCAGCTTACAGACGCCCGGCCCTCCACAAGGAGTCACTAGAGCGCGATGGGACAAGGACATCCCGGCAGGCCAAACCCTCCCCTAACCCGGACGACGCTGGGCCAATTGTGCGCCGCCTCATGGGTCTCCCGGTCACGGCCTGCTGTGACACAGCCTGGAAACGAACTCGGGTCTGTAGTGATGCCTCAAGCACTACGATGCAGTACCTTAGACCGCTGCGCCACTCGGGAGGCAGAACAGTGCTTTTAAACCGATTGTTCAATTCCTAACCTTCCACTCATTCGTACATACCATATGTATCCAAACAAAAACATTCCTGACTTTCCTTTTATCCATCCATTTATCCTCCCTCTCCTTACCCTTCTTCTGTGCTTTCTCTTTGGCTGACAGAGCTGCATTCTTCTTCTGCTCCTCTTGCTGGGCCTGCAGCTCTGCCAACTTCCTGCGCTCCTCTTCCCCCTGCTCCTTCTTCCTCTTCTCCTGGGCCTGGGCAGCCGCCTCCTGCATCACCCGGATCAGTGACCTCATTTCATGCAGTGCCCGCTCTGCCACCGTCAAGTCCTCCACACTGGAGAACTCCCCCTACACAAGCACACATAGCCACTTACACATATTGACCAGAGCAGGGACATAAACAGGATAGCAACAATGGAGGTGTTTACTTTCCCCCCATACTCTGATGAAAAGCCATGATGGAAGAGTTCCACCATTTGACATGTGGTGCTATAATGTCTATTGAAAGTGTAATTTAGGCCATTCAATGCAACCATAGATGAATGAAGAATAGGATCTCACTGACCTCAGCTGTTGTGCGCACCACCTCCGACACTTGGGAGCATAGCTGGTTGGCACGGGTGCTATAGGATGTGAGATCAGGGGTGGGGTCTGACTGGGTGGGTGGGTGCGGCCGGCTCCAGGAGCTGATTGAGTTGCAGTATCTCTTCCTGGATGGCGTTGGGAGCACGTAGTCTCTCCCTGCCCTCCACCTTTCTCTGCCTCCCGCATGCGCAGGTTCAGGATCTGTGGAGGAGGTTTTTCTTTTTTATCTGAACACGATTGTTTTGCATTTTGCTTTCTGAATTTCTAGTGGTTAAACTTTCAATACCTTTATTCTGTTTTTGTGCTCTTCTTTCAACTTCTCTTGGCGCCCGAGGGTTTCTTGTGTTATTTTAAACAAGAGAAAGACAAGCAGCAAATGAAGATTCTTGACACGTAACACATTTTCAGTCCTGTCACAGGGACAGAAGCATATTGGTGGGTGAAAAGGACACTTATTTTTTTGAGGTAAAACAAGCAGTGCTTACTCTCTGTCCATCATGTCCCTCAAACTCTGGTACTCATGCCTCTGCTTCAGCTCCATCAACTCCTCAAAGCGTTTAAGCTGCTCTGACTCACGACTCGCCACTGAAACCCCCAGCATCTCCTGCAGCTCCTGCCTCAGACTCAGCTCCATCTGCATCAGGACATTCAAGGCTCTAGATTAGGTATGAAATGCTAGCATAACATAATGCCATGATGGCTCCCACATATATAGCAAATAAACAGTGTTGGAGACAATATGTAACAGTGATATGTTGATTCATGAACAAGCTAACTAAGAAAAAAACAGCAAGTAGCCTATGCAACCTTGGCCTTGGCACAATGTTTCTTCTCACACATGTGTATAAGTCCTGCCATTTGAGTTGCCCTGGGAGACAGAAGGGAGATGGTGAGGTTGGAGACAGGGCTGAGATCGTCGCTGGTATCTGGGGCACTTTCTTCATCACCAACAATCTGCTGCAGATTGATAGGAAGAGAAATGTGATATAATAGGTTAATAAGAATGTACAGAAATAGTGTGCAAAGAGAGTTAAAATATGGGAGCGAGAGACTTACCTGCTCCTCTTCCTTCTTCGACCTGGGAGTGGGCTGATCATTGGCTGAAGGGAATGAGCTGGTTGAGGAGACTGGGGCCTCCTCGGACAGGCCAGGGCTTGGGTCACGGGAAGCAGAGCCCAAAGAGGTTTTTTGAAGGGGTCGAGGGCTTACATTAAGCCTCTTCAGGATGAGCCCAGAGAGCGGGGACAAGCTGGGAGCTTCATTACAACCTGACAAAATTTCCTGCAGGGGACATGAGAAAGGATCATAATAAGCTAGCTAGCTATATCACATTTCATCCAATGAAAGGCTGATTTCAAATATGTATCTAGTGTTGGCTAGCAAACAAAAATCTTAGACATGTCATGAGCTAGTCTGATTAATCAGGCTGTAATACACAATAAATTGGTATATACAGCCTGAGACATTTGTGTGCAAAATCATGTAAATGTTTCTTATAAGCCAGAATGTTGAATAAAATTACATTTTAACTTATTCTCCCGGTTGTCTGTGCAGTAATGTAATAGCTCTGAAGTAGTTCTGCTACAATGTGCTGTCTAACATTCAAAGATATTACCTAGGTGACATCTGCTGAACCCCATTTATGCCTCAAAACTATCTGAATTAATCTAAGCTAAAACAATAAATGTCAATAATGTTGATGCTTTTTTGGTGAGGAAGTCTTAGTCGCCCCATTTGACACTTAGCTAAGGATTATTGCAGGTCAATGAGCAGTATTTCTGAAGTTTGACTATGGCACGAAAGCTAGCATAAATGTGTCCAACATTAACGCTAATGTTAGCTGAGCCAGTCACTGAAATCATCTTTGACTGAAATGATGCTGCTAACACACAATGTTGAATCTTCTAACAAAAGCTAGCTAGCAAGCTGCAGTAGTTACTAGTGCTAATGCTTACATTATGAGTTTTCATGAAGCAGCCGTTCTTCTGCCACAAGTCATGATACGATCACGGAGAAACATGCTGACCTACGGACTGATTTCTGATAACAGTCAGTTCTTAATTGCGGGGCAGCTTGTCTACAACTTCACGGTAATTAAAACAGGCTAAGAAAGCTTTTTATGTCAGCGAAGGAAGAGCTAGCTAACTACAACAGTTAGCTACACAGCTGATCAAGTCACTGCACTGGCAACCAACATCCTTGCACAGAATTTGTGCAAGCGATAGCCACCGGTTTGTTAGTTTTTTTCTCACGATTACAAACGGTTAAATCACTGTCATAACGTTTGTAATAATTTAGCTCGCTATTTATTCTGCCCATTTAATGGAGAGCGAATGGCGGATGCTCAATATTCAAATTTAATATGAGTTCCACTTCCTACAAGACAGATCGGTTGAGGTACGATTGAAGTGACGCCATCTGGTGAGACGATGCTTGGTTCAATAGCTATTGATGAGAGAACTGAATAGCCAATGTAAAACTAACTTTACATCTGTGCTGAACTGAACCATATACCTACCGGCTCTCTAGAAAGTTGGGTAAACAATACTTTACTGTGGATATTTTGTCTCAAATTTCGAGTAGCTGAAGTACAAACTTCACAGACAACCAGTAGAGTACATTTAAATGTCATTTGAATCAACATTCTGCCAGAATTCTGGCTTGTAAGGAACATTTACACGATTACCCACACAATTTTGTCTCAGGATGTACAGTACCAGTCAAAAGTTTGGACACACCTACTCATTCCAGGGTTTTTCTTTATTTTTACTATTTTCTACATTGTAAAATAATAGTACACATCAAAACTATGAAATAACACATATGGAATCATGTAGTAACCAAAAACGTGTTAAACAAATCAAAATATATTTAATATTTGAGATTCTTCAAAGTAGCCACCATTTGCCTTTGACAGCTTTGCACACTCTTGGCATTCTCTCAACAAGCTTCATGAGGTAGTCACCTGGAATGCACTTCAATTAACAGTTGTGCCCTGTTAAAAGTTAATTTGTGGAATTTCTTTCCTTCTTAATCCATTTGAGCCAATCAGTTGTGTTGTGACAAGGTGGTAAAAGACCCAAGTCCATATTATGGCAAGAACAGCTCAAATAAGCAAAGAGAAATGACAGTACATCATTACTTTAAGACCTGAAGGTCAGTCAATACGGAACATTTCAAGAACTTTGAAAGTTTCTTCAAGTGCAGTCGCAAAAACCATCATGAGGACTGCCACAGGAACGGAAGACCCAGAGTTACCTCTGCTGCAGAGGATAAGTTAATTAGAGTTAACTGCACCTCAGATTGCAGCCCAAATAAATGCTTCACAGAGTTCAAGTAACAGACACATCTCAACATCAACTGTTCAGAGGAGACTGAGTGAATCAGGCCTTCCTGGTCAAATTGCTGCAAAGAAACCACTACTAAAGGACACCAATAATAAGAAGAGACTTGCTTGGGCCAAGAAACACGAGTAATGGACATTAGACCGGTGGAAATCTGTCCTTTGGTCTGATGAGTCCAAATTTGAGATTTTTGGTTCCAACCGGCCTGTCTTTGTGAGATGCAGAGTAGGTGAACAAATGATCCCCGCATGTGTGGTTCCCACCGTGAAGCATGGAGGAGGTGGTGTGATGGTGCTTTGCTGGTGACACTGTCAGTGATTTATTTAGACTTCAAGGCACACTTAACCAGCATGGCTACCACAGTATTCTGCAGCGATACACCATCCCATCTGGTTTGCGCTTAGTGGGACTTTCATTTGTTTTTCAAACAGGACAATGACCCAAAACACACCTCCAGGCTGTGTAAGGGCTATTTGACCAAGGAGAGTGTTGGAGTGCTGTATCAGATGACCTGACCACCACAATCACTCGACCTCAACCCAATTGAGATGGTTTGGGATGAGTTCGACCACAGAGTTAAGGAAAAGCAGCCAACAAGTGCTCAGTATATCTGGGATCTCCTTCAAGACTGTTGGAAAAACATTCCTCATGAAGCTGGTTGAGAGAATGCCAAGAGTGTGCAAAGCTGTCATCAAGGCAAAGGGTGGCTCCTCTATTTCGATTTGTTTAACACTTATTTGGTTACTACATGATTCCATATGTTATTTCATAGTTTTGATGTCTTCACCATTATTCTACAATGTAGAAAATAGTAAAAATAAATAAAAACCTTTGACTGGTACTGTATATACCAATTAATTGTGTATTACAGCCAGATTAATCAGACTAGTCATGAGCCAACTATCCTGATCATCTTCCAACGTTGTGTTTTAGTAAGCACACAACTTATACAATAACTTTGAACCAGTAGCTAGAACGTTAGCCAACGGTTAAGTTCATTACCTCCCCCTTTTCGAGCCAATCTGGGTTGTATTTCAGTCTTCCTTTTGAATAGTTTTTCAAGGCCTCCAATGTTTCCCATCGTAAACTTTTAGCAGGCATGTCGACGTGTAAATAAACACACAATAGACACTTTGAGAGATCGGTGATGCCGTGGCTAGCAGCTTGCTCAATGAGCTTGCTGCATACGAGCCGCCTAATGAAAAACTCCGAAGGGCTCAACTTCCGGCTATTTCGAGTTCCGATACAATGGTTCCGAGTCAACGGTCCAAACAGTTACAAAGCTACTTTGACCTCATAATGGATCAAATGAAATCATAACATATATATTTTTTAATGTATCTATGGAAAATACTGGGAAAAACACTGGATAACTATTTAGTTATTCATACAACATGTTGTGAGTTTGTTGTTTGTGAAAGAGTGAAACATGTCTGGCAGTCCATATTAGTTTTAAGATTTTATCATAGTTTTGATAAACAGTATACAGTACATTTAAACTGAAAATAACAAATAGATCATTGGTACACACCTCATACAATATAAGGCTAACACTATGCAATCAGATTGGTGAGTGTGTGTGTGTGTGTGTGTGTGTGTGTGTGTGTGTGTGTGTAGTGAGCTTATAATAATAATAATAATAATAATAATAATAATAATAATAATAATAATAATAATATGCCATTTAGCAGACGCTTTTATCCAAAGCGACTTACAGTCATGTGTGCATTCATTTTTACGTACGGGTGGTCCCGGGGATCGAACCCACTACCCTGGCGTTACAAGCGCCATGCTCTACCAATTGAGCTACAGAGGACCACTTGATAGCACAGAGTCACCAAACACATTACTATATGAAGCTTTGAGAAACTGAACATAATTCTGCAGGCTGCGGTTGGTAGAGTCAGATTGTTCCAGTCTCTCCTTCATGTTCTTCAACTGATTCTGGAATCGTCGCTCCATCTGCAAAGAAAAAAACAGACTTACATATCAATTCAGTTTGACACAGTTAACATACTTGTTGTATCATACCTTATTATGGTGTTCAGATTTTGTAGTTTGTATAGATATACAGTATTTTGGTATTTTGGGGTATTTTATTAGGAACCCAATTAGCTGTTGCGATAGCAGCAGCAACTTTTCCTGGGGTCCACAAAACATGAAACATGAAATAATACAGAACATTAATAGACAATATCAGCTCAAGGACAGAGCTACACAGTATTCCTTGATTGGGAAGTTGGAACAAATATTTTAAAAGATATTGGATGTATAATGTATAACACATAAATAACTCTATAAAACCAGGTCATTGGGTTAAAAGGTCTCACTCACATCCTCTTTGCTTCTGCGTAACTGACTGAGCTCTGTCCTTTTGAGGCCCAGTTGGCTCTCCAGGTCCAGAGCCTTGGCCTGGATGGACCTCTCTTTGAGTAAAGCCCGCTCCAGGCTCTGATCCGCCTAAAAGTCCAACCAAAATGATCAAGTTGACATTAACAAACCGGTAAAAACAAAATAATCTTGAGACTGAAACAGAAACTGAAAGGTATTTAAGTGATGTTCAGTAATAAGACAGACCTGTCTCTGTCCATCTTCGAAGGCCTGCTCCAGCTGCTTGGAGAGGATGCTGCACTCCCGGGCCCGCTCCTCCAGCTGTTTCTGGGTGCTGTGGATAGTCTCTTCCCGCTTGCCAATTACATGGACCATATCTCTGTTCTGCAAGTTTGCCTCCTCCAGTTTCCTGGGGAGGGAAGGAACAGTCCAGACATTGACCAGCAGAAACATGCAGGATGTCTTGTGGACCTGAGTGTGATCATGGTACATCGGGACACCAAATAGGCGATCTCCCCCTCAGGTATTGATATGACTTACCTCTCTATACTCTCCATCTTCTGCTGCAGAGTTTTGTGCTCCTCCACCAGAAGCAAATTCTTCTCTTGAAAAGTCTCCACCCAACATCCCTGTTGTTCCACCTACACAGAGACACACACAAACACCTTTCTTATTCAAACACAGATCAGAATCAATCTGTGAACAGACGACTGTCCATTTACAGTATGTGTGCATACCTTGTGTCTGAGTTCAGACAGGGTGTTGTTTTGCTCAGTGTTTCTCCTCTCCTGAGTGTGTGTCTCTTCCTGGGCCTCTCTCAGCTGCAGCTCAGAACGCTTCAGCCTCTCAGGCAGAGACTCCAGCTCTTTCAGACGCCCCAGCAGCTGCCTCCTGACCTGCTCAATCTCCCTCTCCAGGTCAGCCTTCATCTCTTGTGCGTGTTTCTCAGAGATCTCCAGCTTTAAGCAGTACTCCTCTGACTCTGATCGAGCCCTCTGAACCTGCAGCACATGATCACTTATCAATTCAAAATCTATGCTACAGACTGGATAGCATGCAGCCTGTACAGTATTTATTGCTGGATTATAACACCTTGGCTTCTTATAAGGTTGAAGTACAGCCCACTCTGGTATGCTGATCAACTGTACCTTGCGCTTATAGTTTTCCACCTGGCTCTCTAGCTTCTTGACTGAATTCTTCAGCTGCTGGGCTTTAGACTGGGACTGCATCAGGTTCTCTTCTGCAGCAGACAGGGTGGTCTCAAGAAGAAGATGCACAAATAACTAAACAACTATCCAGACATTAAAAGTTCTAGAACGTTTAATCCTTACAATGTTTCATATTCTACAGTTTATTACACTCAATGACTGATAGTGAAGAAAAACAGATGTTTACCTTCAGTTTCTGGTTCTCTAGTTTGTTGGAGGAATTGTCAGAGGTGAGGCGGTGCAGCCGGTCCAGGAGCCCCTCCCTCTCTTGATGGCCTTTCTCCTCCACAGTGTGGATCTGTGCAGTCAGCTCACTCACCTGGCTGCACAGACAAGACAGCAGAGCACATAATGAAGAAATCATAAAGGATGAAATGTCTGAGAAACACTTAAAAGGTTTTAGACAACTTTTTTAACAAGATCATTTGCCAAAGACAAACTGTTACAGAGTGAAAGTTGTTGAATCATTCATAACAAACAGGTCTTGAATGCCTCATGGTAGTCACAATTACTCACTTCTTGAGAACAGCGATTTCCACTTCAAGCTGGCTCTTAACAGTCACCTCTTTCGAGTGGCGGGTACACCAGCTCTCAGCTGAGGTAAGGGCCTCTGCCAACTCAGTCTCCTGAATGATGGCATACAAATACATTAGGGCAGTGTGACTCTTGGGCCCAGACCCGGCGCCAGGATAAAGTGACTAAGGGGGCAGTTGAAATCAATGAGGGGGCACCATTTTAGCAGGGTTCTTGCATTGGAATTACATTGAATTCTGCTTATATCACACTATACCACAATAAACAAAGTTCAAATGCAGAGACTCCGAGACCATTGAGTGCTTTTGAAGTGACAGGTTGGCACGATATCTGTAGCCAATCTCCACTGCCCTGTATCAGCACAATGGACAACGCCTACACACTAAAGCAAGGCCTATTTGGCAATGAATATAGGCTACAAGATAGATAGGGTAATTCACCTATTACAAACAGCCTATGTGAATGCAGCCGTACACACAGCTGTCTTACCAAAATAATGCTAACTAAATGCTGAAAGTAGTAGCCTAGTTATTCATGCAAAACAAAAATACTGAATAGCAGTTTGGCTTAGAATACCGACACAACCGTGAATGCGAACAAATGAATGTTAACAGAACAAAACAATGGTAGGCGTACCATAGGCCTATAGACTAAATATCAGATCAATAAAGGCATGACACAATCTATATTTAGGCTAGTTACATTAACAGTAAGCAAAAGGCAAAAGCAAATAACCAAAACATAGCCAACAGCCTACTACAGTGAGATGCAGCCAGGCACAGCTGTCTTGCAAAATAAATAGGCCTATAGGCTGGCTTAAAACATGGAAAATCATGCAGCTCATGCGTTCAGTAACACGTTGCGATATCGCACAATACACTTCTGTGGATCAAATTTGACTCACCCACGTAATCAATTAAGCAATGCCAACCATGAAAAGCAATAGGCTACAAATAAAGCCTACGTTCTATTTCTATGATGAAACATATCGATATGTAGCTATACTCAGGGGCGTCATTTGGGTTCTTGCATTGGAATTATATTGAATTCTGCTTATACCACAGTAAACATCAAAGTTCAAATGCCAAGACCATTGAGTGCTTTTGACCAAGAAGTGAAATCTCTGTTGCGCTCTATCAGCATCATCTCTGCTGGGTTTGGCGGCAGCCTTGGTGGTTTGATTTCTGATATCCATCGTGCCAGATTAGCTGGTTAGAGCTAAATAGGCTAATAACACTAATGCCTTTTACAGCCAGCTAAGAAGATAACTATACTCTGTAGTGGGGGGAGTAAGGCAGAGTTGAGTGAAGCAGCTTCAACTGTAAACTTGACCTCGTCCTTATAAATCAAAATCCAATATTCCAGGCGGAGGCGTATCACGTTATAAACGTTGCCTGCCATGTTATTCATGTAGCCTACCACAGATGAGCAGCGTTTCCCCCCGCTTTTTATGGAAAGGAGTCATAGCCTAACCGCCCAGTGGCTTTCTATACTTCCCTACACACAAACACTCCACGGCACACTCTGTCCATTGTGTTGATACAGCGCAGCGGTGATACAGATTTCGCACCAACCTGTCACTCAATCATTTGAACTTTTATGCAATTTTTACATAAAACTAAAACAGAGGTGGCACAAGTTTCAACTGAGGGGGCTAAGCCCCCTTGTTGAACCTGGCCCGCTTGGATCGCTTGTTAATATAACTATACATGTACCCCTCCCGTGGTCCTCTGTAGCTCAGCTGGTAGAGCACGGCGCTTGTAACGCCAAGGTAGTGGGTTCGATCCCCGGGACCACCCATACACAAAAAATGTATGCACGCATGACTGTAAGTCGCTTTGGATAAAAGCGTCTGCTAAATGGCATATTATATTATTATATTATTATATAATAATATTCACAGGATCACACCCAACCACCCTGTTGCCATCCCAACACCACATGTCAACCCATGAGAGCAGCCTGAGGACCAGTGAGTGTCTGACCTTCTCCAGCAGCTGTGCAGAGAGCTGTCTGGCTGAATCCTCACTGTGCTCTGCCCTATGCCTCTGTGTCTGGTTGGCCTGCTTCAGCCTCTCTTTGTCCTCTTCACTCTGCCGCTTCAGCTCCTCCAGCTGCTCCAGCAGGGCCTGTATCTCCTCCTTCTGCTGCTCCTGGGTCTGCTCCATCTCCTACTCCACACAAGGAAGGGAGATAAAAAAGGGGCGCAATGGAGAGAGAAGATTGTTGTGGTCAGATGTTCCAGTCTATACTTTAAAGACCCACTCCGGACTCCCTAGAAACTAATTTATCACCTGATTTACTTAACAAATGGCTCAATAGGTGGTCCAGGTGTCCTCTGACATTGCTCCTCTATTGCACCATCAGACCAACTCCTTGAATTGCCCCCAAGGACCAAATAAAAGCAGACTCTTAATTATGTGGCCTATAAACCTTGGTACCCACTTTACTATGGCCGGCCTGGCGGTTATTTTCAGTCTCTTTGCTGCGTAACTGAACCATAAGCTGGCTGCAGGTTGACTCCAGAACTTTAGACAGCTCTCCTGTGGTCTTCACAATGTCCTGTATGGAGGATATGGAATGATGAGTAAAGATAAGATGCTATTTGTGAGCACTGGTGGCAGGTAGCCTAGCGGTTACAGCATTGGGCCAGTAACCAAAAGGTTGCTGGTTCAAATCCCAGAGTATTTCCCATTTACACAATTGTACATGACTGAAATAGGACAAAAATAAGTACCCACCAATTTATGATATATATATATATATTATATATGGTTTTTTTTTATTACCTAGTAAGCTAAATAAAAAACGTTATGATCTCGCTCTGCATCAAATGCAAACGGATGAGAATCTAGAGAACTAGAGACAATGTACCTTTTCAAAATCCAAATGTACTGCAAGCTGGTTGGCTTCCTTTTCTTTGTTGTTGAGTTTTGCAGCAAGATGCTGAAAGCCAGAAAAGCAGAAACAACATTCTTAATGTCATCTATGACATGGATATGCACCACACAGAGTGAAAGGAAACCAATATAAGGGAAATGTAACAGATAAAAGTGCATGGTGATAAACACAGGAACATGGTGATGCATACACACCACTTTTTCTGCTTCTGTGTCCACCAGTCTCTTCAGTAGGCCTTGCCTCTGCTCTGACGTCCTCAATGATTCTATCTATCAATAAATACATCAACAAAAATATAAGACCACAATTCTAATTGTCATTTTAGATATTCTTTCAAAGCCACTGTCCTCGTCAGTCTGAGCAAGTCGATGTATTGGGGAGAGTACCTCTCGTTCATGGCACTCCCTGAGGAGTTCTCGGAGAGTGCGGTTTGTGCTGTCAAATGTTTCTATCTTCTTTGTCAGCAACTCCTGCTGCCTACCAAGCAGGGCAGCGTCCGCCTTGGAAAACCGCTTATCCTAGCAAGGAGAAAGGGCAGTCTTAAAGAACATTTAAAAAAACATTTGTCCATATTTAACAGGGTCACTTGTATCAAATTCACCTTTTTCACACCACCCATTGACTCATTCAGAGCTGTCAACTGTGTGACCACTGCCACCCCATCAAACTCTGCTTCTACCAGCTTCCTCAGTAGCATGTCTCTTTCCCCGTGTAGAGTCCCCGAATAAGCCCTGCACGGAATGGAAAGGTTAAAACCAAGCTGTTCCTAAACTGCCTCACATTTTTAAGTTGTCTTGTAAACATTAAATAGTTCAGATGTATTTTCACTCTATTCTATTGGCTACTCAATCTAATACTGATAATCCTATGCTTGATTACTAAATGTCCTTTACACACACACACACACACACACACAACTTCTTTGTTTACTGGACACATTCACGAAACAAACAAGAGGGGTGCACTGGATATTGCTGAATTTCAGTGAGATCGTGGCTCGGTATTGTAATGAAGCAGTAAATTGTGATAGTGTGATGAACCATAGAAGGGGCTAAGTTGGGTAAGGGGAAAACAGAATTTTACACACTATACAGTGCCTTCATAAAGTATTCACCCCCCTTGACGTTTTCCAAATTTTGTTGTGTTAGAGCCTGAATTTTAAAATTGATTAAATGTAGATTTTTTTTTTCACTGGCCTATACACAATACCCCATAATGTCAAAGTGGACTTGTGTTTTTAAAATTTTTTAGAAATTAATTACAAATGAAAAGCTAAAATGTCAAGTCAAAAAGTATTCAACCCCTTTGTTATGGCAAGCCTAAATAAGTTCAGGAGTAAAAAAATGTGCTTAACAAGTCACTTAATAAGTTGCATGGACTCGCTCTGTGTGCAATAATAGTGTTTAACAGGATTTCTGAATGACTACCTCATCTCTGTATCCCACATACAATTATCTGTAAGATTCCTGAGTCGAGCAGTGAATTTCAAAAATAGATTCAACCACAAAGACCACAGAGGTTTTCCAATGCCTTGCAACAAAAAGGGCACCTATTGGTAGATGGGTAAAAAAATAAAAAGCTGATATTGAATATCCCTTTGAGCATGGTGAAGTTATTAATTGAACTTTGGATGGTGTACCAATACATCCAGTCACTATAAAGATACAGGCGTCCTTCCTAACTCAGTTGCCGGAGAGGAAGGAAACAGCTCAGGGATTTCACCATGAGGCCAATGTTGACTTTAAAACAGTTACAGAATTTAATGGCTGTGATAGGAGAAAACTGAGGATGGATCAACAACATTGTAGTTACTCCACAATACTAACCTAATTGACAGAGTGAAAAGAAGGAAGCCTGTACAGAATACAAATATTCTAAAACATGCATCCTGTTTGTAATAAGGCACTAAAGTAAAACTGCAACAAAAAAAATGCTATGAAATATACTTCATGCCCTGAATAAAAAGCGTTATGTTTGGGGCCAATCCAATACAGCACATTACTGACTACCACTCTCCATATTTTCAAGCATAGTGCTACGGCTGGCCATGCTTTCCACCTGGCTACCCCTACCCCTACCCCGGCCACCAGCTCTGCACCCTCCGCTGCAACTTGCCCATGCCCCGCCTTTGCTTCTCCTTCACCCAAATTCAGACAGCTGATGTTCTGAAAGAGCTGCAAAATCTGGACCCCTACAAATCAGCTGGGCTAGACAATCTGGACCCTTTCTTTCTAAAATTAGCCACCGAAATTGTCGCAACCCCTATTACTAGCCTGTTCAACCTCTCTTTCGTATCATCTGAGATCCCCAGAGGTTGGAAAGCTGCCACGGTCATCCCTCTCTTCAAAGGGGGTGACACTCTAGATTCAAACTGTTACAGACCTATATCCATCCTGTCCTACCTTTCGAAAGTGTTTGAAAGCCAAGTTAACAAACAGATCACCGACCATTTCGAATCCCACCGTACCTTCTCCGCTATGCAATCCGGTTTCCGAGCTGGTCATGGGTGCACCTCAGCCACGCTCAAGGTCCTAAACGATATTATAACCGCGATCGATAAAAGACAGTACTGTGCAGCCATCTTCATTGAACTGGCCAAGGCTTTCAACTCTGTCAATCACCGCATTCTTATTGGCAGACTAAATAGCCTTGGTTTCTCAAATGACTGCCTCGCCTGGTTCACCAACTACTTCTCAGATATAGTTCAATGTGTCAAATCGGAGGGCTTGTTGTCTGGACCTCTGGCAGTCTCTATGGGGGTGCCACAGGGTTCAATTCTCGGGCTGACTCTATTCTCTGTGTATATCTTGCTGCTGGTGACTCAGATCCACCTCTACGCAGACGACACCATTTTGTATACATCTGGCCCTTCATTGGACACTGTTAACAAACCTCCAAACGCGCTTCAATGCCATACAACACTCCTTCTGTAGCCTCCAACTGCTCTTAAACGCTAGTAAAACTAAATGCATGCTCTTCAATCGAATGCTGCTTGCACCCGCCCGCCCGACTAGAATCACTATTCTCGGCGGGTCTGACTTATGTGGACAACTACAAATACCTAGGTGTCTGGTTAGACCGTAAACTCTCCTTCCAGACTCACATTAAGCATCTCCAATCCAAAGTTACATCTAGAATCGGCTTCCTATTTCACAACAAAGCCTCCTTCACTCATGCTGCCAAACATGCCCTCGTAAAACTGACTATCCTACTGATCCTTGACTTCGGCGATGTCATTTACAAAATAGCCTCCAACACTCTACTCAGCAAATTGGATGTAGTCCATCACAGTGCCATCTGTTTTGTCACCAAAGCCCCATATCCTACCCACCATTGTGACCTGTACGCTCTCGTTGGCTGGCCCTCACTACATATTCGTCGCCAAACCCACTGGCTCCAGGTCATCTATAAATCACTGCTTGGCAAATCCCCGCCTTATCTTAACTCATTGGTCACCATAGCAACACCCACCCGTAGTATGCGCTCCAGCAGGTATATCTCACTGGTCATCCCCGAAGCCAACACCTCCTTTGGCCGCCATTCCATCCAGTTCTCTGCTGCCAATGACTGGAACGAACTGCAAAAATCTCTGAAGCTGGAGACTCTTATCGCCCTCACTAACTTTAAGCATCAGTTGTCAGAGCAGCTTACCGATCACTGCACCTGTACACAGCCCATCTGTAATAAGCCCATCCAACTACCTCATCCCCTTATTGTTATTTATTTTGCTCATTTGCACCCCAGTATCTCTATTTGCACATCAGCTTCTGCACATCTATCACTCCAGTGTTAATACTAAATTGTAATTATTTTGCACTATGGCCTATTTATTGCCTTACCTCCATAACTTACTACATTTGCACACACTGTATATAGATTTTCTATTGTGTTATTGACTGTACGTTTTGTTTATTCCATATGTAACTCTGTGTTGTTGTTGTTTTTAATCACACTGCTTTGCTTTATTTTGGGCAGGTCGCAGTTGTAAATGAGAACTTGTTCTCATCTGGCTTACCTGGTTAAATAAAGGTGAAATAAAAAAAGTAATTAAAAAATAGTGGTGGCTGCATCATGTCATGGGTATGCTTGTAAGCATTAAGGACTGGGGAGTTTTCCTGGATAAAAAAAAATCAATGGAATGGAGCTAAGCACAGGCAAAATCCTAGAGGCTTTCCACCAGACACTGGGAGATGAATTCACCTTTCAGCAGAACAATAACCTAAAACACAAGACAGAATCTACACTGGAGTTGCTTACCAAGAAGATGGTGAATGTTAATCAGTGGCCAAATTACAGTTTTGACTTTAATCTACTTTAAAATCTATAGCAAGACTTGAAAATGGTTGTCTAGCAATGATCAACAACCAATTTGACAGAGCTTGAATAATTTTGAAAGAATAATTGCAAATGTTTTACAATCCAGGTGTGGAAAGCTCTTAAGAGACGTACCCAGAAAGACTCACAGCTGTAATCAGTACTAAAGGTGCTTCTACAAAGTATTGACTTAGGGGTGTGAATACCTATGTAAATTAGATACTTCTGTATTTAATTTTCAATACATTTGCAAAAATGTCTAAAAACTTGCTTTCATGTTGTCATTATGGGACATTTTGTGTAGATGGGCAAGATTGTTTTTTTTCCCCATCCATTTTTAATTCAGCCTGTAACACAACAAAATGTGGAATAAGTCAAGGGGAATGCTTTCTGAAGGCACTGTACATACCTCGTTCTTTGGAGACCCAACATCCATCATGAGTCCATCAATCTTCCTCATATATTTGTTACACTGGCCATGTATCCTCTGCTCTTGTTTATCCTCATTAGACAGGTCAGCCAACTGCAGTGGGGACAGGGAGGGCTTAGCCTGTGATACAGGTGTGATCTCCAGACAGTATGAAGGCTGCTGAGAGACATGAAAATCAACATTGGTAGTTGATTGTAGCTCAGTTGGTTGAGCATGGCGCTTGCAACGCCAGGGTTGTGGGTTCGTTTCCCACGGGGGGCCAGTATGAAAAATGTATGCACTCACTAACTGTAAGTCGCTCTGGATAAGAGCGTCTGCTAAATGACTAAAATTTAAATGTGGATCTAATGATATCATGTAGGATATAATATCTGTGGGAATAGTGAGCAATAAATGTATCTTTGTTAATGTGAAATGTAAGCAATGTCCATAGCACTGGATGAAAATGTATATGTGAGGAGCAAATAACATTTCCAGGACCTTCCACTTGTATGCGTCATCCCGAGTGGCGCTTCTTCCTGTGGCCGGCACCCAGGGGGCCCGGGCCCTCGTCCTGGCACGCAGGTTCCCAATATCCCCCTTGATTTGCACCTCTTTAACCTTCATACGCAAAGAGAGCAGTGGTTGACTGACATGCAACTGTTGAGGCAGTCAAGGGAGGCCTATTTCTATTATAGGCCTACTTTATTTCGAAGGTTGAATAAGTGTATCACTTAATTGACTAAACATTTACTAACCTGTGAGGTCTTTGCAGTGCCGCTCTTCTGACTCCTCTTCAGGTGTACATGTACATGTGTGGTCTCTGGCACGTGAACGTGCAATGGTGGGGAAGAATCACGCGTTTTCATTATTGACCAATAATCAGTTAATCTAGAAATTGGAGCACATGATAGAACAGAATTTTCTCTAGCTGCCAGAAAGTCATACACCAGAGATAATGATACCACGACATAGCCGAGTAAACTCAACTCCATATGGTCAAGTTGAGTTCATTCAGCTAACCACGACAACAGTATTGACACCATGTTCAAGATTAGCTTCGTCCAGCTACTATCCAGTTAAATTAACATGTATATGAACAATTTTGACTTTTTATTTTACTGTCAAAATGGTTAATTGAAATGGCTAGTTCACGAGACCACTCCATGCATGACCAGCAAGCTAACCTCAACAAATATAAAGTTCCTTATTCATAAACGTGCTCCATAGCTAACTGAAGCCCTTACAAACTTGTTTCGCAAAAGTGAGTGTTTTGTTAACCAACTAAATATCTATGGATCCGGTCATCTTCTACGCAATTGGCTCGTTCATAACCGATTTCTAAAGACATCGGTCTGTGATTGGAGAACATTAGTTGGACCCACGTTCGAGTTTACGTTGCCAGCAGTAACGGGACGTCCTCTTCAACGCGTCATATTTCCGCGAAATGCCCACCTCCTGCCTGTAGACGGCGCAATGCGTTAACGGATTCATTCGATCTTGACGGTCCTTGTAAACATTACGTGGTTTTCCAGTTAATGTGTGAGGTTTTCAAACGAACCAAATTTTAGAAATGTCTATAAATATATGAATCCGCTGTAGACGTCCGAGGGAAGTACCATTTTCGACTACTCGTGTTTCATCCGAACTCGCTCGTTCCTGATTTGCATCTAGGTGTAAAATAGATTTGCATGATTGCACGCATACAATGATACAAAAGTATATATGTGCGCTTCGAGTTGCTACATTGTTGGCAACAATGGCGGGTAGAGCGAGACAACTGTCTGAAATTCGGCTACAAACACTTCTGTTTTTCACTGTATTTCTGTGCGATTCTAAACTCGTCGAAGCCTGTGTTGGCGAAGATGTCGGAGACTTGTTACTCTGCAGGTCCTGTGGACATGAATTGGCTTTTGAGAAAGATGCCAACTTTATCCACAGTCGACTTGCGCTCTCTTATAGAAATGATACGGTTATTGGGGAAAGAAGAGTGCCCGTCCAGCGGTTCGAAAACCCTCAGGGCTACCAGTTTGAAGTAATGACTTTCAGAAAGGCAGACGTTGTCAAGCACTGGCCTGCGGACAAACATTTCACCTGGTATCCTGGATATGCCTGGACAGTGGCCACATGTCCGCGATGTAACGCGCACCTTGGTGGGTTGGGAATTAAAATAGATTTTGATTCTGTGTCTCATCCATTAAACGTGTCCGGCACGTGGGTCTATTCTAACCTTAGGCAACAATTGCAAACTCAAAATAGAACTACCTTATGCTGTTTGTAATAACGAACATTTCACCCCCTCCCAGGTTGGGCCTTTCAACCCATTGAATGGCCAAAGACATTAACCAAAAAGGAGTTTGAGGAATCGGAGGAGACATTTGTGGCTTTGGTCACTAATCGATTGTTACAAGAAAAATTTGCATCAACACTTCTGACTCCGAAATCATTCAGAAGTTGAAATCTCCTGCTTTCAAAGCTACAAATGATACCTGGCAGCATTTTTTTTTTGTGCATTTCATAATAATAAAAAAGTGTCACTAATACAGCATGTAGTATTTCCTGTGAATTGTAATACACCAAGTATGCACTTTTGAGATAAAGAAACTGTCAGTAACAGTCTTAACATACGTCAGTAACAGTCTTAACATACTGGTCCAGTACTGCAAGCTTACCACAATTATAGAGGTAACAGCCAGACATTTAACATCCATTTAGCTAGTTTCTGGCTCTAGAGCACTAATTGAACTACAATTGACTACTATGGTTGGTTAGATGACACATTCGTGTACACATGACGTTTTATTGTAACAAAGACACTTGTACACCTTTAAGTTTAAAACAGATTGGTTTTTTTCCCCCCAGCAGAAAATAAAAATGGTGATTAGATGCAAATTCCATGAGATAACAGGTCATTTTCCATGAAGCAGTGGGGGCCCAAATTTACAAGCAATTTTTTTTTTAAGTTTTTGTTTTGTTTATTAAAAATGTCATTTCAAATCTCACGGATGTCTGTAAAACAATACAATGAAAATCAAAAAACAAACCCATAGTAATGGTGTCATAATGCCCACCCTCCCCAACACCCTAAGATATCCCTCTACCCTACCCCAGCATTGACCACAAACATTGCAAGAAGTGATAGGAATGAGCTAGTACTTTCTATCTGTTCACTTTTAACCACATAGGGGAAAAACATTTTTTTAGGGATCTACTCCCCAACTGAACAAAATTATAAAAACTGGAGGGGTCCGCTAGTGCAAAGTCACTGCACCATGGCTTTTGTTCAGTTAAATCGCACAACCTTTAACAGGAAGAAAAAATTATAGAAATTGCCATTCATTTAACTACAAGATGGCATGCTTATTCTATTGTTTTGTAGGTTTTTTATTTTTCTTCAGATGAATGTGGGAATTATTGTGGTTTGACAATTCAAAAAGGCAGGAATTTGGAGATTAAGCACAAAATAAAAGTAACAAATCTTGCTCCCAAATATGGGTGGATAACCAAATGGAGGGGGGGGGGAATAGCAAAGGTAGATGATTTAATTTTCCGGTTTAGTCATCTTCTCCATCATCCTAAACAAAAGGAAAGAAATCAATACTGTGCAAACAAATCTCACTATTCAATATAGTGAATTGAGTTGATTAATAAGAGCAAATTAATTATTTAGGGCATACCTCGCCATCATCTCCGTCATCCTCCTCTTCTTCCTCCCCATCATCTTCATCACCCTCCTCATCAATGTCCTCAAGACCTTCCTCATCATCATCATCATCTTCACCTTCGCCCTCCTCATCATCCATGTCAGGAACCTGCCAATCAAATTAACCAACCTTTTAACTGTATATCATTTGTCTACATAGCAGACTTAAATCTCCTGGGTGACATTTACAGACAGCAGAATCGACGTTTAATAGTCACATGTACAGGGTTGCAGGTGTAATTACAGGGTACAGTGAAAATCTTAAGCTCCGAGCTCAAACAACGCAGGTCAAAGTGAAATAAAAACATTAAAAGTAATAAAGAATATAACATATACATATTAACACTAACAGTAGTAAACAAACACTCAAAATGAAGCATCCAAATAATTAATACAGTAGCACAATGGGCATAGAAGTCATAGAACATGTAACAAGTCCCATTCAAAGTAAAGGGAACATTGATAACAGGGAGGTGTTAGGCCTTGGAGACCACTCACCAGGTAGTACTGCAGGGGGTTTGGCCAGATGTCATCCTTGATGACCTCTCCCAGCTCATCTGCCCCAGCATCTGAGTGATCAGTGAACCAGGTGAAGAAGCTCTCTGGCTCTTCATGTTGCCTCTTCTTGCCGGCTTTGTTCTGTGTCTGGCTGGAGCGCTTTGTCAGGTCCTTCAGAGACAACGTCACAGGGATTACAAACCAGCTTGTTTTTGTTTGTTTTAAAGCAATGAGTTTTATTTCATAGCAAAACATATGAAATACTGACCACAACTACCAGGCATGAAAACCAAAAGGCTCTGATCACTAAGGCACGTACAACATTCAGGTACAGTGTCTAACCATTATGTTGAGCAGACTTTTAAAAAAGTGCCCCACTTGTTTCTGCCAAATGCCATGCATTAATAGAATGTGCAGTATTCCCATGCATGTGAAAAGACTCATGTGAAATACCTTTCCTGATTTCCATTTGATTTCTGTTGACTTTGAGGATGGGTCTCCACTCTCATTCAGATGGAACTCTTTGGAAAGGACTTTGTTTTCAAAGTATGGATTTTCATCGTAATACTGGAACACAAGTCAATTTAATTGAGTACATTTTAATATACGCTATAAAGTACAGACATTAATGCAATATCCCGTGAATGCAATATGATGGTAATCATTATCGCTTACAAAATCTATTCTGTAGCCTGACTTGATATCTTCAAACTCTGTAACCTCCACCCTGGTCAGATAGTGAAGTGCCTCCTCATCTTCCTCCCCAAGAAGAGCAGAAACTGTAGGGAGAAACAAGAAAACAGTCAGAATCTGAATATTATAGGTTCCTGTGATAAAATCCTGTGACAGAGGCCAAAGTGATGTGCTGAAGCTCACCTTGTGGATGGTTGACGAATGTGGTGACCCAGAAATTGGGGATTTTGGCGATCAGTTCTGATCTCTTCTGAAAGAACGGCTGACGGAGTTTGTTGTATTTCTGTTCTACTTTCAATATCTCCTCACTCGCTTGCTCGTTCAGTCTGGAGAAAATAGATTGCACATCAAGTACACATCACACGGTTAAACACTTTAGTTCTTCTGATACATATACATTTTAACCTGAGTGGCTTACCTGTCAATTTCGTTTTGAACTTCATCGATGTGTTCAATAGCTTCCTGTTGCTCTTTTTCTAGGAGAAGAAAAATGCAATAATGTCAGAAAATATTGTAGCGACCATCCGTGCAGTGCATCAGCGGTAGCTGGACGTCAAAATTAAAGAGTAACTACCAACTTCCTGCGCACTACCAACAAATAATCAAAGACGTAACTTAACTGTAGCAAACAAAGTTACGCGCTAATGGTTCTGAAATTGACCCTGAACACCAAGCTGCTCTCAAGACCATGGACGGAAAACCATTGCAAAAAGCTGCATGAGCTAATCAGTAACGATTTGTAATCTGAAAAGGGGTGAAACATTTGCGCAAATATTATATAAATCTTAACCAACTAATTCTTAAATTGGAATGCATGACTGAAATGTGTGTGTGTTAGCACCACCGTTTTGCACCTAGATATTTCAGAGCAGCTTGCAAACGGCGTTTCCTGCTGGCTACACTGAGGATGGCCGCGTGGTTTAAATGTGAGAGTCCGCACACCACACTCTGCCTCCTTCCCCAACACTGTCTAATAGCTAGGTAGGTGCGCATTGTATCGACACCATGCCCAAGTTACAGACAAATAACCCTGCATTGTTAAATCCGTTTTAAAACTCTTCCAATGGCCTACTTCTCGAAAACGGTCGTTCACTAGATGTTAGCTAACTAGCCGTGTTGCCAATTTCACAGTTGCAAACTAGCTAGCTACGGCTTGCTTCATCATGGCGGATATGCACAACAACAAAGTAACACTAGGCCACGGTTATTTCATTCAACATTGAAAACACATTACTCCTCAGTAACCTACAAAAAAATACACCGTCTATAATAAAAATGTTTTTCAATTGTATTTATAGTAGCAACGACTGGACTTGCGAACGAAAATACTGGACAGGACATGCATTGATTAGACAAATAACTATTAAGGAAATGTTGCTAGCTAGGTAACATGGCCTCCATCACCGGTCTAACGTAGTAGCGTTAACAGCTAGAGAGAACTAACTACGCACTCACGACAGACAATACTGACTGCACCCAAAACCGGGCAGATTCATATTGAAAAGCTCACAGGCGACAAATTACGATTTGTGAACTATATTACATTAAAGTAGTAGTTTTCGGTAGAACTAATAAAGGAAGTGAAAATGGCGGTGAACTGGAGGCCGCCATTCCTTACCGGAGGTCTCGTCCGCTCCGTCATGGTTTGAGTTCAGCTCCTTTTTACTCACTTTTGCCGCCGGTGCCGACATGTTTATCGAAAGCTGTGAATAACAGACTTCGGGAAAGAATACTGAATTTGGTTTTGTATTCTCCCCGAACAGGAGATTAGTATTTCTAAGTACAATTTCGGTGTGCTATAACAACGTGTGCAGCGCTCCTCCACACAATATAACGCGAGGAAGTCAAGCACATTCAGACACTCCACCAAGAAGCTCTAGCCCGCTCACGCGCTCCCTTTCATTACGAACGCGCCTCAGCAAATGGAACCGATTGGGCTCCGCCTCTCGAGAACTAGTCTGCGTGCTGGGTTGTAGTGTTGCTTTCTCATAGGCGAGATTAACTCCGAAAAGGCGGGATTTTATAGAAAAGCTATTACAACGTCTTTGAAAATGTTGTATTCATTTACATAATCATGTTACATTAAAATGATCATAGCTAACAGTTTTACTTTTAAATAGGTCTAGTTATTTTGTCGTCGCATTTGCCCACCTACGGTACCCTGCTGCAAAGGGAAATTACTGCTATTGCCGAAAAATATCGATATTTTTTATATGTGTACATATACCTAAAAAATATGTATATATAACCCCTACAAAAATCTTGGTGTCTTTAGTAATCTGGTTTTTAAATAGGCCTAAAAGGAAAAGAGAAAATAGCTTACATCATTGCATCATTCATGCATATATATTAACCTGATTTTATGGCCCATAATATTTTTCATTTTGGTACCTGGCTGCCTTGCCAAAGTTTAGATGAACATCATAATTCATTGCTCATTCATTCATCTGTCACCCAGTGCTCACCAATATTATCCCACACTTCTACTAGCATAGTGTAAAAACGATTACATAAAGCTATTTTATAAGTACACATATTTTTACAATTATTACACTGCATGCATCCCATTTAAAACTGGACATAAAGACATGTCCTTCTGCATAAAGAGCTGCAGCTGACTCCCCGGAGCGTTTGATGTATGTCCAGGCGCTCCCCCATGCTGGAATGGGTTTAGCAAGGCTCTAGCTGGATGCTCTCTGCCTGTCCTGAGGAGAGCGGCTCTGTGTTTGTCTTTGGTTGGTGACAACAGAGGAACACGTGGTTCTGCGCTGGCCAATGCTGAGCCTGGACAGAGACATCAGCACTCACAGACTAACAGCAGTGTTGGCACAAAAGAGGGATCCTTGCCACCCCTGCAGGAAGCCTACACAGGAAAAACCCAGTGAGAGAGCGAGAGAGAGAGCGAGAGAGGGGGAGAGCGAGAGAGAGGGGGGAGAGAGAGTGATTAGTAACAGAAAGAAGAGGAGAACAGGATGCAGTGGAAGAGGGATTTTGCAGAGCAGTCAGCAGAGAGGCAAAAACAAACAGAAGGAAAGACTGCTGTGTGACCAGATTCACAAGATGTAAAGCAGCATCAGGAGGAACCCTGCCTGCCTGCTTGCCACTGACGGTCTGCAACAACAACAGCAGAGGACTTGTTGTGTTTTCAAGGATAGTGAAGGTGGAGAGGTGCAATGTGAGAAGCCCTCCTGTGGCCAAGAGGATGACAAATTAGCCCTTATTCAGCAAGGAGAGACAGGAGTGCTCCAAGGTTAGTGAAGTGCATGGTCATACTACTGTTTTCACCTGGTTTAGGCATGTTTGTATTATTATTTTAGCTCATACATCCCTTTTTTCAGATTGGACACTGGCAGAGCTGAGACTTAAACAGATGCTCCTTGTTTTTCAGTTTCTCATTCACCACTATTTTATGAGTCAGACAGACTATCAGAGTATTTCTTTTCTTGGACCAATAAATATGGAGCAGGTTTTGTTCAGGTGTACTGTACTGGTGTGGGTGTGTTTCCGCATCATTGTGTTAGTGTTATTGTCACTGTCCAGGATCTGGAGATGCTGTCTACAGCTCAGCAGATGCTGCAGGACAGCCGTTCCAAGATCGAGCTGATCCGAATGCAGATTATCAAAGTCACCCAGACTAGTGTTGGGGATGGGAGCAGCAACCATGGCAGCACCAATCATGGAGGTCAGAGCTTTATGGTACAGTTTAGTTAGGGGATCATGGTTACAATATACAGTTAACTCAATCCACATCTTTGCACAGAATTTAAAATGCTATCAGGATTGAACTGCCATCAGATAGATTACTGTCTTGTATCTTACTATAATTCGTTAGGTACAGTGCATTCGGAAAGTATTCAGACTCCTTCACCTTTTCCACATTTTGTTACGTTACAGCCTTATTCTAAAATTGATTAAATAAATGTTTTTACTCATCAATCTACACACGATACCGCATAATGACAAAGTGAAAACAGAAATACCTTATTTACATAAGTATTCAGAACCTTTGCTATGAGACTCAAAATTGAGCTTAGGTGCATCCTGTTTCCATTTATCATCATTGAGATGTTTCTACAACTTGATTGGAGTCCACCTGTGGTAAATTCAACTGATTGGACATGATTTGGAAAGACACACACCTGTCTATATAAGGTCCCACAGTTGACAGTGCATGTCAGAGCAAAAACCAAGCCATGAGGTAGAAGGAATTGTCCATAGTGCTCCGAGACAGGATTGTGTCGAGGCACAGATCTGCGGAAGAGTACCAAAACATGTCAGCAGCATTGAAGGTCCCCAAGAACACAGTGGCCTCCATCATTCTTAAATGGAAGAAGTTTGGAACCACCAAGACTATGGGAGACTAGTCAGGATCTAGGGAAAGATGAATGGAGCAAAGTACAGAGAGATCCTTAATGAAAACCTGCTCCAGAGCACTCAGGACCTCAGACTGGGGCGAAGGTTCACCTTCCAACAGGACAACGACCCTAAGCACACAGCCAAGACAACACAGGAGTGGCTTCGGGACAACTCTCTAAATGTAATTGAGTGGCCCAGCCAGAGCCCGGACTTGAACCTGATCAAACATCTCTGGAGAGACCTGAAAATAGCTGTGCCGCGACGCTTCCAGTCTAACCTGACAAAGCTTGAGAGGATCTGCAGAGAAGAATGGGAGAAGAATCGAGGCTGTAATTGCTGCCAAAGGTGCTTCAACAAATTACTGAATAAAGGGTCTGAATACTTATGTGAATGTAATATTTCTGTATTTTTTTATATTTTTGATCAATTTACAATTTCTGAAAACCTGTTTTTGCTTTGTCATTATGGGGTATTGTGTAGGTTGATGAGGGGAAAAAACAATTTCATCCATTTTAGGATAAGGCTGTAACGTAACAAAATGTGGGAAAAGTGAAGGAGTCTGAATACTTTCCGAATGCACTGTAGTTCCAGTGTTTGTTTTGCTCGCTATTTTATATGCTGGTATGATTATGAAAAATGTAAGACCACTGAATTTGACAACTGTATTACCTATGTGAGGATATATCATAATGCTTTCTCTATGCAGTCTGAGTCGGAACTTGACCCTATATCTCTGGCCTGTTTTCTCATGCATCATTGATCCAGAAGGAAGTACCCCAGTGGGTGTAAATCCCGTGGACATCCATGTGGCTGAGTTAAAACAATATGTCCAGAGAGAGACAGAGGTGGTGAAGGTGGCCAGGGATGTGGTGAAGCAGCTTGAGGAGCTGCCATCCCAGGACCAATTGGCCCTGGCTGAGGTGGGCTAGCTAGGATGTATCTATAAATTATTTTTATTGTTTTACTATTCTATTTGAAAACATTCTAAAAACAATCACAAAATGAGTATAATTTCAGAGGGATTAATTAATCTTTCGTACAATTAGTTAGTTTGAGAGTGGAAAGAGTCTTGGTTAGAACATTTGTTTTTGTGCCTATGCTATGCATGTATGAGAATGCATAAATCTCTCTACCAGGCCCGGTCCCGTGTGCAAGACTCTTCTCAGAAGCTAGATCTTCTGCGACTTTCTCTGGAGTACCGCCTGTGGGAGTCATCTCAGGAGGCTCTCCGGGAGCCTGTCACCAAACAGGGGCTCCCTACAGGATCCCCACCCCCCGAGGGACAACAGCAAAATTGCCTACTCTGCTCCTTCCCCTCCTCCACCTCCTCATCCTTTCTCAAGCCGGCCTCCCTAACAGGTAACCACTCTCTTCAAACCTTACAGGTATTTTATGTCTGTTTATGGATCTGATGTAAAAGCAGAATGATAATGTTTATTTTAAGGCCTGTTCTCCTGATATATGTAATATTTTACAGGCACACTTGAGGTCAGGCTTCTGGGATGTGAGGACTTGCTGAAATCACTGCCAGGACGAGGCCAAATAACCAGTGGATCGTCTTCTCCGGATAGCCCACCAGATTCCAATGTCAACAGCCAACCTGATCACACAGAAAACCTCTCCTGTAAGTCCCTATATAAAGCCCTACCTCACTCTTTAGTGTCAGATTCAACATCCACTACCTCCTCTCCTGCAGGGAGTGTACCGTGCCTGTATGGGATTACGGTTAGTGCCCAGAGGGCCAGTGACTTTGTGTTGAAGCTGTGGTTGTTGCATTTGAATATCCAAAGTACTGTACCTGTAGAACCATCTCTCCTAAATGTTATTGTAGTCATGGAAGTACAGTACAGGACAGTAATATCAGACTTTCTGTCTGGCAGTGGAGATAAGTGCAGTTTTGAAACTGGATAACAGAGTGGTGGGTCGCACCCACTGGAGACCCCTGAGCAAGCAGGCCTGGAGACAACGCTTCAGCATCCAACTAGAGCGGGTAAGTAGTGTCAAAATAGTGGGCAATTGATACAACAGTGGAAGTTGAAAAGGTGACTGGTTGAGGCAGAGTTCTTTTAACTGAACACCAGGAGGAGCCATTGTACTTCACATAACTGCTTGTACGGGAACTCTATGGGATTGTTGTACATAGTCTGAAAGTGTCTGTATTGGTAAAATGCCATATAATTTCTCAGTTGGGAGATTGCACATGTATTTCATCTTTGTGCCCCCACAGTCTCGGGAGCTGGAGATTGGGGTCTTTTGGCAAGACTGTAGGGTGATGTGTGCTGTTAAGTACCTGCGCCTGGAAGAGTTCCTGGACAACCAACAACATGCCCTGTGTTTGTGCCTGGAGCCCCAGGGAACACTCTTCACTGAGGTCTGATTCCTTTATAGTTCTGAATGTGTGATGGCTTAGCCAGAGTGTGGTCTATCAACCAGATACCCTTATGTAACAAGCTACTTGTTTTTCTGGTGGCTTTGCAGATTACCTTTGTCAACCCTGTGATTGAGCGCCAACCCAAACTAAGGCGTCAGAGGTGCATTTTCACAAAAGAGAAAGGTACTGTATGTAACCTGCCTGTGGTCACAGATCGAATAGACCTACTCATGTTACTATTGATAAGTGTTGATGGGTGTTCCTGTACCTCCACTCAGGGAAGAACTTCCTTCGTGCTGCCCAGATGAACATGAACTTTGCCACATGGGGTCATCTGATGATGAGTGTCCTGCCTCAATGTTCCTTTACCACTTTGAGTCCATCTACTTCCTCTGATGTTGTGGTCAACCCCCCACCTTCTACCAATAAGGTCACTCGGTCAACCCCCCTACTGCCAGGGTGAGAGAGAACACAGTGCTGCCCATGGAAACACAATACAAAAATGTGTGCATTAAGAACTTAGTACAAACCATAAAACAAGTATTTTGTGTAGTGTATTTATAAGAATATTTGGTATGGGAGTATATGTAATATCTTTATCATTGCATGATTTCCCTGACTATATGACCATCACTGTGTTTCTCTTTATCTGCAGTGAAGTGCCGGTGATTAGTCTTAATATAAATGAGGAGCAGTCATCTAAAACGTTTAGCATTGACCAAGGAAGAAACATCCCCAAAATGGTGTCAACAGCACAGAAAACACCACCTATGCCTACTCTGACAGAAAAAGAGGTGAACACCCATACCAGCTCCACTAAACATAAAATTGTGGTTCCAGTCTATTGTCATCTTGGTAAAGTAATGTGCATGTAGTGCATTGGTAGACTTGCTATTTTAATAAATGACTGGCCTCTTTTCAGTCCTCCATTGAAAACAACACAACAGAGAGAACAAGGATGCAGATGGAAGATTTCAAATGTATCTCTGTCCTGGGAAGAGGACACTTTGGAAAGGTCCAGACATTTTTGCCAACACAACATTTATATTACAGTACTATATGATTTTGCATAGCCCACTGCTTCATGTACGCCAATGTTCACCCTATCCAGGTACTTCTAGCTGAGTTTAAGAAGACAGGAAAACTCTACGCCATTAAAGCGTTGAAGAAGAGGGATATTGTAACCCGTGATGAAGTGGACAGGTTAGTGTTCTTTATTAAGACATATACCATACAATGAATAGGCTTGCTCACCTTACACACGTACAGTAGTGATACACACAGATACTAACTTATTTACAGTAAGAAATGCTCTTTCTGATGCCTTGACAGTCTTATGTGTGAGAAGAGGATCTTTGAGATGATCAACGCATCGAGGCACCCTTTCCTGGTCAACCTGCACGGCTGTTTCCAGACCAGTGAGCATGTGTGTTTTGTCATGGAGTACTCACCAGGAGGAGACCTCATGATTCACATCCATAATAACGTCTTCTCTGAGTTGCAGACCAGGTGAGTTTTACCTTCCAACCACAAGCACACACACACATACATACACACACACACATGCACGCGCCATTAAAAAACAATTTGAACAGTGCAAATTTGTATTGTGTTTACTTTTGTTCGATTCTCTTTGGGTTACAGGTTCTACTCAGCTTGTGTTTTGCTGGGTCTAGAGTTCCTGCATCTGAATAAGATAGTTTATCGGTGAGTCGTGTCTGAGTCGTATTGACTCACGGGTGTTATAAACCAGCACTAAATACAGCTCTGGCTACAGCTTATTTAAATTGCATGTGTTTTACACAGAGATTTGAAGTTGGACAACTTGCTGATGGATGCAGACGGATTTGTTAAAATCACAGACTTTGGACTTTGTAAAGAAGGTAAAACTATGGTTTATCATATCTTATGACAGGGTTTGTGGTTATGTGTGGAAATTACGTGTGTGTGTGTGTGTGTGTGTGTGTGTGCGCGTGCGTTTAGTTAAACACTGTTCCATCTGCTGTTGTCCTGGCAGGGATGGGGCATGGCGACCGGACATCAACATTCTGTGGAACCCCAGAGTTCCTGGCGCCTGAGGTGCTTACTGATGATAACTACACACGAGCTGTGGACTGGTGGGGCATGGGTGTCCTTATCTTTGAGATGCTTGTGGGAGAGGTAAGTAATCAACAGACCAAAAACACACTCCCTAAAACACAGTCATATATTTTTGTAAAAGAAACAACAACAAAAACAGTCACAAAGCAATAATAACAGCACAAATACACAGAAATGTAATGCTTTATAGTTTCAATGACTGGTGGTTGTATATCAGAATAAAGGCTTCCCTCTCTCTATCTTGTGCCAGTCTCCATTCCCAGGAGAAGATGAAGAGGAGGTGTTTGACAGCATAGTTAATGACGATGTTCAGTATCCTGGATGCCTTTCTCCAGACTCCATCTCCATCATTCAAAATGTATTTTTGTCTCTCATATTTGTTATTCGGAAACTGTTCAGAAAGATTTTTGTTATGAAAATATCAGTGTTTGTTTTGAACCATCACCCTGTCTGTACATGCTGACCCCTAATCAAACCCCTCCACCCTGCAGCTTCTTAAGAGGAATCCAGAGAAAAGACTGGGAGCCGGAGAGGGGGATGCAAATGAAGTCAAGGGAGAGAAATTCTTCAAGGTCATTTAGTTCAAATCAAATAATTTTCAATCAATGCTTTTACATATACTGTAGATGCATCAACCTTATCTTTGAGATGGTTGTGGGAGAATACCTTCTATTTTCTAACTTAACCCTTATGTACTGTATCTATTTGACAAACAGACTATAGACTGGGATGCACTGCTAGCTAAAAAAGTGAAACCTCCATTCCTGCCAAAAATCAAGGAGTCTGTGGATGTCAGTAACTTTGACAGCGAGTTCACGAGTCTCCAGCCGATCCTGTCACCTCCCCCCGTGTCCTGCAGCCTATCCCCTGAGCAGCAGGAGGCCTTCGCAGATTTTGACTTCTCAGCCCTGCATGGATGAAGCAATCAGAGACCAGGGTTGCATCCAGCTCATGAAACGGTTGCATGAACAGTTCCATAGCACAACCTTTTCATAACTGACAATAACTGAATGTAGCACGCCCCAATGGTACATGTAGATGAGGCGGACTGTCCTCACTGCCATCAAACGCCATCATCAACAAACCCAACCAAGCAGGATATGGGATCTGAATGCAACCCTGGTATTTCTGTGCCATGAATGAGTCTGACGGCCAGGTTCTATGACTCTTTCATTGTTTATAGTACCCAGTGACATCCAAACATTAACACTAGTGTGTAATGCTCTCTTGAATGGATTTCACTCAAATAAAATTGGCTGCCATCTACAAAACATAAAGGATTTGAAGAGAGGTCTAATGTGGACAGAATTTGAGCATGCTTTGTGGCCTTTGCTTATTTTGCTATTATCAGATAAATGTTCCCTTCAGAGAGGTACACGCTGCCGTTTCTATGCATCACTGTGAGAGACTTTGCCCACTGCCTTGACTGAGCAAATGAAAAAGGCTGTTTATTCCTGTTACAATATGTCTTTTCAAAATGTTCTGTGTGATGATGAAAAATTCCATGTTCTCATACCTGGGTCCAGTCATTCCCTACCAATGTGTGATTAACTACTAACTCCTACTAACATATCTACCTTCTACCTACCAGCCAATTTATTATTTTTTGTGTGACTAAAATGTGCATGGCACACTTGTTGTGAACTTAGTTTTATGTATACATTTTAATGAGAGAAACCATTAAATAAGGTAGCCATATTTATGAATAAACCAATATTGTGGGATTGAGCACTTAATGCAATAACGAGTGAGATTGTGAAGTGAGAAGCTGATAAATAGTATTTTGCTATTAAAACGGTTCAATAGTTGCTGCTAATAATTATGCATTACCGTATGAATGTATGTGGATTACCACATCAAGAAATGTAAATGAGACAAAATGTATGCATATTCATTGAAATCATTAGTGTTTTATTGTGTTGTCTATGTCAATAAATACAAAAATATGAATACATTATTACCAATTAATGAAAGAGTGAAACGTTTTATCAAAGAATACAGGTAAAAATTCATCAAGCATTTCAACATATAAAACCGAGTACTAAAGTTAATGCATAACATTTTTGTTCAACACCTTTCAATATTACAGTACATCATTAGTTCAACATGACAAAATAACATACTCAATGACTTACGATAAACTGTCACTCAGTTAAACAAAACAATAAAAAATACACAGTACCATGTACTACATAAATATCAAAACATTAGGCAACTTCAACATGGCTACAATTGTAAATGATGGGGGAAGCAGAATGGAAGGCCTACACGGTGACATGACCCTGGCTTAATCCTATAGCCTGGTATGGGCATGTTGTCTGTAGAGTGAGGTCAGACGTGATTGTGGCTCCCTCTGTAGTACACCTTCTCCCACACCACAGTTCGGTACATGCAGAAGAAGTCCCACAGATTACAGAGAATGCCCTGATCAAAGGGGTTCTCCTCGTCACTGTAGCTCTTCAGGTAGGAGATCCGGTGGCGGGACATGAACTCCCAGGTGGTGGAGTTGATGGAGATCAGATAGAGGTGGCAGCCCAGGAGCAGGACCACCACCAAGGACAACACACCCACAACACACAGCGCCGCCAGCAGAAACCCATTCACAATGAGCCACAGTTTCCAAGTGCCGGCTGAATGGAAACCTGACCTGAAAGACAGAGTACATCAAATTATATTTGCTGCAATAATACAACAAGGGAACTATTGTGTATGTGGGACCATAAGTATTTCAACTACATCTCAAGAATAATAACTCATAGCTACTCTCATCAGGTTAAATCCCCCACACTCACCAAGCAATATGCAGTGCCCAGAGTAGAGCAAGTAGCTGAACAGCCAGATAGATGATGAACCAGCGGTGGTTTCTCTCGCCCACACAATTCTCTATCCACGGACAGTGATGGTCAAACCGCCGCACACAATGTTTGCAGGCCTGGCAGTGCTTAGCTCTCATGGGCTGCTGCTTGAGACAAAGGGGAGAGGACAAGAAGTCATACTAATAACAACATAGCACACCCCCAATATGTCATCCCAGATTTTGGTTATAAGTATATAAGTTATTCCCCATGTAATGATCTAACTGCAACTGGATGGTATTCTACCTGCTGTCCTACCTGTAGCAGACAGTAGCCACAACGGCGCAGGCGAGGAATGGTGTTTTGAGGGATCATCTCCTCCAATTCTTCACCTGAGCCCTGGGCACACTCACACATTCAAAGGCAAAGATAATGTAATAGCAGTAAGGAATACATCTTATCAGAAGGGCTTTTGGGGGAGGGTTGGTGGGGTTTAAGGCTCACCTTGACACTGTCAGAGAGAACAAAGCCTGGGTCCATCAGAGAGACAGTGAAATACAGCATTACTGACAGCAGGACCATCAAGGAAAACACTACAGGCTGCATCAACTCTCCATTCTCCTCTTGTCTTCGGAGATCTTAACAGGCAGGTTAAAGGTTAAAATGTCTATTGTATTCGCTGTGGCTAAATTATATGGCTGAGAGCAACTACTTTATCTAGCCTGCAAGCTATCAATAGTATTGTTGTCATAATATGACAGTCTCCCAGTCTGTGTTGCCTAGCAAGCTAACATTAGCTAGCTAAATGTGTAATCAAATGGGCTCGTCTCGAAGAGAAGCTAACTTACCGGTGTCATGTAAGAATAGTATCAGTGTAATAACCCATGTTAGGATGACATGTACGGTCCTAATTAGAAAACCAGATCGAAACACGTTTTTAAACATCGTTGCATGATTGAACGAACACTAGCTAGCAAAGTTATCTAGCTAGATTTATTTGCGACTTCCTGTTTTGGTAGGGCATGTGGTTTGTGTCAAACTTAGTACTGAAATCGAGGGGGTGAAAGGGTGGTGTCAATTCTAAAATCCCAATCAGAGTCTTTTTAAAAAGACCCTTATTGAACATCCAGCCATGGAGGGGACACACTCAAGGAGTCAAGAAATACACGTGAATATTATACAATACTTTTAATTTATTTGCTCAAAGAACATTGTACAAAATGGTCCATTAAAAAGGTTTAATAATTACATTATTATTTTCAAAAGTTGAAGTGATTTCCCAGTTTGTATCTAAAGGTAATGCAAAACATTCAAAAGTGTCTCCAGCATGAATTAAAGTGCATTACTGTTAATCATCAATCTACTCAAAGCTCTAAAATCATGTTTGGTTTTAGGTATAAAGACATTGATTAAGTGTCCTGACAACCAAGACTCTCCTGACCTCAACACAGAAGTAATTATTGTGCATTTCCATAATAAGCAACTAATGTAAACTGACAAACTATTACATTTATATATTAAGGGAAAATATATGCAGGGTTGACTCAAGCAATAATTTAAAGCTGGTTTGCATTGAAAACATTTACAAATACATGCTCTTTAACATTGCATAAGAATCTCATGTGATCTTATTTAGCAAAAACACCCACAATACTTGTACATAATATGGCTCTTCAGTTAGTTATCCATAACAATCAAACTTATGAACATAAAGGCAGTTAGTGCCGTGTTCTGGAAGAAAAAAAACAGACATGCCATTCGTAATGGTCATCTCCAGACAATAAAAAACAAAAATAAATATTGGATCGATTGGACATCAATAAATACTTAAATCCTTCAGAAATACACCCTAATTTAGTCGGAAATGGCAGTGTGAATAAATTGTCTATCTGCACCAAGTGAGAAGGGGAAAGAAACACCACATGTGCTTTTGCTCAATTCCCTATATTCAAGGAACATGAATGAATATCATTTTCATATCAGGCAAATGTGGGGGAAAAACCAATAACTACTCGGAAAACCCATTAATGCTAAGGAAAATGTCTGAATACATCATGTTAGTCAAAAACATTTGTTGTGCATTGGGCATAACTGAAGTAGTTTCTACTTAATGAGTCTGGTGCAGTTTGCACTGTTGCATAGCCTAATTTACTGAGTGAAACCAAAGTGAGAGAGGAACATTCTTACAGAGGCACTATACCACAAATGGGCAACAACAAGAATTGGTCCCCAATTATAGAGTTGCTCACTCAGTTGAGTAGCTAACCAACATTCACTGTATAATTCTGGTCATAACTCAACAATTGATCTTCTAAAATAAACTATTAAACAATAGCAGCAATAGCAATGTTGAGGGAAGCCCCCCCCCCCCCCCCCCCCTCCTCCATTTCAGCTCACAGAGTCGATACCTTTTCATTCTGTTGTCCCTTGTTCTCCTCCATCCTCTGACATTCACAGAATGAGATGGCTCCACAAACCTCAAGAGTCAGAGATTCCTTAGCCTCAACTCGGAGGAGTCTCACACACACACCAACCTCCTCAGTGCTTTCAAAGCTGAACCATTCAGATGTCGTGAGTCACCTTCTCATCGCGACTTAACTCCCAGCGACATCTTCAGGTTCTCGTACACCACATAGCTGATGCTGACAGCTGGAATGACCTTCAGGAAGTTAGGGGCCAGGCCCCTGTAGAGGCCAGTGGCCCCTTCTGTCTGGATGATTTGTTTGAAGAGCCCTGACATTGTCATCTGTGGGCTGCCCTCCATCATGGCTGTAGGGGAGAAATGGCACACAGTCAGCATTAAAGCCAAAGATGCATACAAAGGAACAGCAAAACTGGTAGTTAATTATAACCGCATCTCAATAAAATAAGGAAAATATAATATATTTGAAAGAATATAAGCAGTGTAAATTAGGTGTATTGTTGAAGGTCTAACCTTGTGCCTGCATGCGAGTCCTGACCAAGGCTAGGGGGTAGCTGGCCAGCTGACCACAGGTGCTGGAGACTGTGCCACAGCCAAGCAGAACGAACACTCCCGGGTCAGTACTTTTGGTGCCATACTTTTCTAACCAGGAGTTCTTCAATGTCTGTGGAAAAAGGAACATAGTCAGAGAATTCCAAATGGAGCATCCAATGCAGTGAAAACAGCTTTGTAAAGTCATATCCGGGTCTCTTCTTACCTCATACACAGCCAGGTCGATTCCAGCATAGGGGATGATGCCCATCATGTTGGGGATAAAGCCCTTGTAAAAGGCACCCAGTCCCTCTCTCCTAAAGATGTTCTTTGCACAGTCAGAGATGCCAGAGTACTGACCAGTCTTTCGCAGGGCAAGCCGCGTTTTCAGAACCTGGTGTTCAGAAATTAAAGACTATGAAAATCTAGCCGGTGGCATGTAATCGGAGTGAAAATATTGGCATTACTAACTTATTTGCATATAAATTATGTATTTTTGTCCTTTCTATCCTAACAACAATAATATATGTAATCATTCCAGATCTATGCTAGAAGGGGATGATTGATGGCTGCTCACCTCCATGGGGTAGATGGTGCTCTGAGCGATGACTCCAGCCATAGAACCAGCCACAAAACGCTCCAGGATGCCAAGTGTCACCTTATCACTGCCAATCAAACGCTTGATCTGTGCCATAGAGTTTCAGTTGAAACGAGAGAGAGAGAGAGGGGAGAAGATGAGATGGGACAGACACCGGTTAGAACATGAACTTGGTCCTCACAGCAGAAATTGAGATTAAGGAATTATAATAATGGTTTATATATCTTTTTTTTTTTTAAGAGTAATACAATTCTCTAAATTAAGAAAAATGATATAGCAGCAAGTGTGCATTGCATGTAGTACCTGCTCATAAGCCATGAACTTAATGGCAGATTCGGGGGCGATTTTGATGATGTTCATTCCATTCCCTCTCCACAGCGACCTCATCCCACCTTCTTTGATCATCTGGGTGAGCCCACTCATGATGCACATGTTGTTGCTATGGGAACCATGGACCTGACAAATAAAGAATATCAATGTTTATCATACAGAAGACACGTGACCAATAAGACAATTAGGGCCGTATTCTGAATTGAGATCTGTGCACTTAACTCAAATTTTCATGCATGTCTCCCATTGACGGCAATCAATGATTTATATGAAAGTCGGGCCTTTTATTCTCATAACGTTTATTCAGTTATGAGGCATTGGCTCTGAGAATGTGAACATATTTGCTCAACAGGGGGATCAATGTGGAACAAGTCAAAGTGTTCTGGGATCAGTTGTACCAACACACAGATGACTCTAGACGACTTGTTCAAACAGAACCACTAACGCCAATCAGGGGTTACTGATCCCCACATTGCTATCACGTAAAAGCAGATCTACTCTCTTCTGATGCAGCCAATCACATCTCACCAGAGACGATGTGCTGGCTCTTAGCCACTATCATTGGTCAGCTGAATGAGCCGGTGAGAATGAACAGCCCCCAGGACTCTTGCCCTCTGTTCTGGCACATGTACTCTTGAACTAATCTACGTCCTCATTAACCCATGTATGGCTCTTAGGTAATTGAGGGCTAGGTGTACCATTACTAGGACTCAAACTGTTGTTGGGAATACAGGGCTGTGATCGTATCTATTAAGAAAGTAGATCAAGGACTTCTTACCTGCATGAGTACTTTGAGTCGGTCTAAGGGGGCGGTGAATGTTCGGGACACTGCTCCTGCACCTCCGCCGGCAACCAGATGCCTCCACCACATTCCTGTCAGTTTTTCCTCTGTTGTGAAATCATCAGGCACCATCAGATTCTCACCTACATCAAAGAGCTAAAGAGAGCAGAAAGATATAGAACATGAGTATTATCATCCACTATTAGCCTCTCTTTCGGCCCAAAATACATTGGCGTTATCTAAGAGTAGTTTGCAATTACAAATATAGTCAAGCGATAAAAAAGGGGCGAAATGACATTTTTCAGTGTGTGTGATTTCTAAGGCCCCATGTGTACACAAACCTTTCATCTAGAGGTAGGGACAGTGACGAGCGGTATTGACAGTGAAATGTGCGTCAGTGTGTCTGCCCTCATCCCTCAAAACATAGGTCATGAGGCTTTAGGTCAGTGATTACTTAATGTTCTGAGTTAGGAAGCAAGTTGGATTCTGTTGTTTCCTGCTCTCTTATTTCTGGGACACTTCTTTGTAATCTGATATCAAACCAGAGAGAACATAAGGGCGCTTCTGCTTTGATGTCATGGTTCAGACTTAACATGCACTGCAATTATTATATGGGTAAAGAATGAAGGGCATGTTCCCTTCTTGTAAAGCTATCTATTGCATAATGACAATCTGAGTCAGCCAGGGAGACTCTCCACTCTAGACATAGCTTTGGGTACAAGTCCCTACAGAGGTGCCTTTGCAAAACCCAAGCCAGAGTACAGGCTCTATCCCCCCTGAAGTTTTACCATGCCAGAGATGGTTCACCAGCTGGAAACTATTTAATGAGCGCCAAGTTGATATTAAAATCAGAAAATGGCAGCACCTGTTATATAAGTGTAAGTAACACTACTGGCACGAGATGGTCAGGCCAAAGTGACTTGAGTGAATGCCTTGGGACATTTTCCCTGGCCTTTGTTTTAGGTGGTCATCCCATCTCCAAGGAATGCTTCTGAATATTTTTTGCCCCAGCTCGACTTATAAACGTTGTTCTGTAGCTCTTGGCACATAGGAGAGGTACACAGGCTAAGATTTAGAGCCGGCTTCACTCATTAAGACATATTGTATTTCATTACCCCACCCGCATGCTGCCCAAGAACACACTGTCCTGTGAAAGTGGTTCTGAGAACCGAGGGGATAATTTCTGTGTCCTCTTACCACTTTACAAATGTAATGAACATCTTACATAAGGGATCATTAAAAACTGTAATCAACATTTGATATACAAGGGGGTAATTAATGAATCATGTAAATCATGATATTACATTCAGTGCTTTCCTGTCCTATTTTAACACCAATAAGACTTAATTGGTGACGCACGTCCATTCACAGTGTTAATCTATGTAATAGGATGAACATCCCCATTCACAATATTGAACTTTCAGGGATTTTGTCAGTGGATACAGAGTGTACTCAAATTAATGTGAAATAGAAGTGTTCCCTGCTTTGTGAATAGCTAGTTCACACCACCCGTCCTCCCACCCTCCTTACCGTGGAGTGTTTCCAGTAGAGGGTGATCCCAGGGATGTTGTTCTCTTTGGGATGTAGCAGAGGGTAGTTGCTCCACTGATTCCAGTCGATAGTCATCGTTCCATTCTTATCCATGCTATTGACAAAGATAAAAACAAAACCATAAACTATTGAGAATATGAATCAAACTGGTAATAATAGCTATACCGACAAGATTGACTAAAATCTTAAGGAAACTCTGCTCCATCCTAATATCTTACCTTTGTAGGACCTTCTCGGCATGCTGCTGGGATATGTGAAGACCAAGGTCCTGTAGTGACTGCATGATCTCCTTAGAATATATTTTACCTGAATCACAACGGAAGACAATTCATCACAAATCATAATTCCACCTAAATCAGAACAAAACTTTTGAATTGTATGGTAGCTAAGGCATGTTCCAAAACTGTAACAGCTGATTTGTGTATAATAGCATACCAGCTCTCCTTCTGTCCAGGCTCTTGAAGACAATCTTCAGGTCTTTCTCATGATCTTGCAAATAGTTAACAAACTCCTCGAAGACCATCTGCCCATCCAGGTCCTTATCTGCACTTTTCACCACTTTCTGCAAAGGCAAACAAAACCAAATGATCAACAACAGTGGCAAGATACACTGACCTGCTTTCTAATATCAGACAAATTCAAATCAAATTTGCCACATGCGCCGAATACAACAGGTGTAGGTAGACCTTACAGTGAAATGCTTACTTACAAGCCCTTAACCAACAATGCAGTTAAGAAAATAAAAAAAAGTGGTAAGTAAAAAATTAAAATAGCAAATAATTAAAGAGCAGCAGTAAAATAAAATAACAGTAGGGAGGCTATATACAGGGGGTACCGGTACAGAGCCAATGTGCGGGGGCACCGGTTAGTCAAGGTAATTTAGGTCATATGTACATGTGGGTAGAGTTAAAGTGACTATGCATAAATAATAAACAGAGTAGCAGCAGCGTAAAAGTTGGTGTGGGGGGGGGGGGGGGGGGGGGCCAAGGCAAATAGTCCAGGTAGCCATGATTAGCTGTTCAGGAGTCTTATGGCTTGGGGGTAGAAGCTGTTAAGAGGGGACCATTGAAAATCAATCAACTATAGTAAAGCCAAGACTGGGGGGTTTTCTGGAGGGGGACAATATTAATGGGATGTATTGTAAGCACCTGGAAGGAGGGTAAGGTGTGAATAATGTCAAACTGTGCATCACCTTAATGTCCAGTCAAGACAAACCATTTCAGCAATGTCTCTGAGAGGCAAAGACCACCAAGGCCATATGTTGAATGCACATTGACTCAAATCTAGGCTAACATTCACTGTCAAACGTGACATATGGCTGGATAGAAGGAATGTACTCTATGGGAACACTGTCACATACTGTAGTTCAATACAGTAGATCAAATATAAACACCGACCCAGCAACCCCGGTCCTATTTTAGACCAGGTAGACAGGCTTAGCGTGAGTTTGCAGGATATAGATAGATGTCACAGGCACTATTACCCACGCCTGAAGACATGAGGACTCGAACCACAACGCCAACCTCTGCCATGAACATCATGTCTTGCCTCTGATAAGTGGGTCACGCAGTCTTGGGGGTCAAGAAGCTCCAGCCAAGTCTTGCATGCACAGTTATTTAATAATTCCATCATCTTCCTGTGATTTCTTCAAGTAGGCTAATTTGCAACCCTGAATCTGATGGTTTAGGGCTCCATGTCAATGATACTTGATTATATTAATAAGATGATATTAATAAGCGGGTCTTGCAGGCCAATAGTTTTAATTTGCAAGCCCTATGCACCATCAATGTGTAGCCAAACAATAATAATCCATCTATGCACTATTTTATCTTTTGATGATACATAGGAGAGTCATTCAATGAATTTAAACTTTCATGAAGCAATTCCTTTTTTAAATATATTAATGAACATCAGGGAGCCCTCTCCTTGAGTAGGGCTTTAGAGTTTTTAAAGCATGTCTGCATAATCTATTACATAAATTCATACGTTCTATTTGGATTTCCATGGGTCTGAATCATTGTTGCATTCAATTCCTCTTGAAATATTTTAACATTATGGTCTGATAGGTGCAGTGAATTGCATGGGATCACTGGGTAGGTGTAGATTTTGACTGAAGTTAGTGCTATCCGGGACCATTGGGACGTTTTGACAAACTCGCAGCCACAAAGTCATAAATGCCGCCCATTTCTAAAATGTATCTTCTTAAAAAGTCAATTTAAACCCAACCTTAAACACACTGCTAACCTTATGCCTAACTTTAAATTAAGACCAAAAAGCATATTTTTGTTTTTATGAATTTTTACGATATAGCCAATTTTGACTTTGTGGCTGTGGTAACTAGTGGAAACCATGACAAACCGCGAGTACAGGAAGAAGGGGGTTGTACTTACAGGAAACTACGACAGCATGATCGTTACAAAAATGTGTAGTTTTGAAACCATCACTCAAAATGTAAAACTTGATGTGAACACCGCCGAAGCATAAAGACATGCAAGTAAAATAATATACTGAACGTTTTACCTTTCTCCATTTCCGATAAGTAGAAAATTCTTGTGAAGGTAGAAACACACTCAATTTGAAGAGCGATTTCAACTCTGATGGTAGTCCATTGGACTCAAAATACTCGAATTCAGTCGCATCCGAATTCGGAACAGGCACATAAAGGCACAGGCCAAGCATATTTAAAATAAAGGTAAACACGTTCCACAATAAATAAATAAATAGCTAGTACACCAAAAACTGTTCAACTTGGCGTGTTAATACTAAAATGCCGGTAAGGAAGTGCGTCGTGTTATAGAAACCCATGAAACCACGCCCTTTTAAAAATAGACCTATTTCATTGGCTCCTACGAACTATTTTATTTCCATTCGGCAACGTAATTTGCTCGACCCACCACTGTATCATTCCATTGACGCGCCTTGATCTTGCGTAAAGGGCGCTCAATGACCATTAACCCTTTCCTGTCCCAAACTACTGTTTGACCTACTATGCCATATTCTTGTTTCACCTGATAGGCTATATATTGGGAAAATATCTCATTTGGTCCTGTTTGATATCACTTGATATAGAGATTCGTCATGTCTTGATTGGAATTTGTGTTAGGCCAGTAGACTATTTTGCAGTCTACATCTGGGCTACATGATGATATACTGTACACTGATGTCATTAGACATTTTTTTTTTATATATATTTTTTTATCATCATTGTTTGTCATTCTATATTGTCATTTAAAGTTGATGGATTCTACCAGCAGACAGAATAATGCCAAATACACTCAAAGATGGTCTGAGATCAACCAACATAACATCATAATAGCAACTTTCTGAGAATGTCCGGCTTAGACAGAACAGACAAGCAGTTCCTTGAACTGGTATGTTCCTTGGATTAATATTCAGCCAGTTAGTAACAATGTTTACAACTCTAGGAATTCTGAGATAACGTGACGTGCCTTTTATCATTTTATCATGTGTTTAATACCAACATTCTAGGAGGACTAGCTCAGTTGGTAGAGCATGGCGCTTGCAACGCCAGGGTTGTGGGTTCATTTCCCACAGGGGGCCAGTATGAAAAATGTATGCACTCACTAACTGTAAGTCGCTCAGGATAAGAGCGTCTGCTAAATGACTAAAATGTAAATGACTACATAGCAGAATTTATGTGTGATAATTTGGGTGATAATTTGCTTTATTCTCGCACTAAAGAGAATAAAAAGTAATCAACAGATTTAAACTTTTAATATGAGCAAATGTTTATGTTATTGTTTACATGGGGGTTGTATGTCCTGCAAAGGTCTGCACTTGTCCCACCAGACCTCCAGGTACTAAAGAACATCATGAAGTTGTGTAGTAGAATGATGAAAACATGCCCAGATTTAAATGCCAGGGGACAAGCGCCAAGTGATGATTATACTGGAAGAACATCAAGGTTTTGGGTTAAACCACATGGTGGAAAGACAGCTGAGTCTGGAGCTTCCCTATCTGTAATTATAGAGTCTTAAGGTAAATCCATTGAATGTCAGTCTGCATCAATAAAGACATTGCAATCCTTGACAAACCCTTATAGGGAAAAATAAATTATTTGTGGCATAGAATAGTTACTTTATTTTACTTTATTTCACAATGATTTAAAGCTAAATCAAGTACTATTTGCATTTGAAAATGTCACAGGTTGTATTTGCTCCATTCTTTACATTTTGTGTGGAAGTAGAAAACACAGAGAGGTGCTACAGATAATTAACAGAGACAAGTGCAGGTAATTATATAAGCAGTAATAATGTTTTGCATGATATGTTTAATGGAACCCATCGGTCTATTGACATGGGTAGCCCTTTCCTGCAGTCAAATGATCTACTGGCCTCATAGGTGGAATGTTATACATTTTTTTTCATAATTTGATTAATAAATATATATATTTTTTAAACTGCCGAACATTTGGTGTTTCTATGTCAAACGGTTTTGTTATATTTCAGTCTTCTGTGATTTATATAAAGTGTAACATTGGGATGCAAACTCAAAATTGAACACATTTCAACTCTATATCTGACATGGTATAACTTACTTTAACTTACTACATTCGCACACACTGTATATGTATTTTCTGTTGTATTTTTGACTTTATGTTTTGTTTACCCCATATGTAACTCTGTGTTGTTGTTTTTATCGCACTGCTTGGCCAGGTCGCAGTTGTAAATGAGAACTTGTTCTCAACTGGCTTACCTGGTTAAATAAAGGTGAAATAAATAAAATGGTACAGCTGTCTTATTTTTTGTTGTTGCCCATAACCATGTGTGTGAGGTGTATACTTTTGTTTCAAAGTAGATTTGTTTAACACTACCAAGAAACACTCTGTGTGACCCTGACTTAGCCCACTGCAATAAAAGGTGAAGTGTTTTCATTAAAAGACACCTTCCCCTCTGCATCTGTATTTATATTACTTAAAATGACCAAGTGCCTCAGAAAGGTATAAAGCCATTTTTAGAAGTAACGTCACAAACAAAACAAGATTACCACACAGTGCTGCGGAGAAGAGAGTGCATACTAACCATTCCAAATAGCAAACAGTGTAAACCCCTAAGGTCAAATTCCATGATAGACTGCATCACTTCAGGTTGTTGTTACCTGTTGTTTTTGAATGTGACTGTTCCAATATGTGAATAGCTTTACACATGACAGATAACCTTTATAATGGGCACAAAAACAGAACAACAGCACATCATTATTCTTTATTACCTGTTATACCAACAGCAAACCCCTTATCCATCTGTGAAAGGAAACAACAGGGAAATATGGGACATATTATCAGTAGGATACAATATACAGTAGGTATAGTCAGAATACAAACAGATAAAGGTTTTTGTTCACTTCATTCATAATCTGTACCCAAAGACAATTCTCAGTAATTGTAAATAGTACCATATGAAAAAGTATAGTGTTAAGAATGTTTAAGTGTCAAACATGAGTTCTAATGAGAATTTATGGTCGGCAGTCTCGGTACATATTAATTTACTATCCAAAGAACATGGCACCTCTTAGGCAATAAACTCATAAGAGATTGCAATAACTCTGGGACAATAATAGTTTGGCAGGCAAGCTTCAGGGATATCAATTTGGGGTTACAGGGCTTGTTGTCATACCTAGATTCCAGTGCAAGCCCAGTGCGAGCAGGACCTCATCACAATGAGCATTCCAATAAAACTGCAAAGGGCAGCCCTTTTAATGTTTAGGATATCTCTGCATCTGTAACTTCACAGGCATTTTAATAAATATTGTTTTAGGAAAGTGAAAGCAAATTGACCAACTTATAAGAATAATGTACACTACATGACCAAAAGTATGTGGACACGTGCTCGTCGAACATCTCGTTCCAAATCATGGGCATTAGTATGGAGTTGGTCTCCCTTTTGCTGCTGTAACAGCCTCCACTCTTCTGGGAAGGCTTTCCACTAGATGTTGGAACATTGCTGCGGGGACTTGCTTTCCTTTCAGCCACAAGAGCATTAGTGAGGTCGGGCATTGATGTTGGGCGATTAGGCCTGGCTCGCAGTCAGGGTTTCGATGGAGTTGAGGTCAGTGCTCTGTGCAGGCCAGTCAAGTTCTTCCACACCGATCTCGACAAACTATTTCTGTATGGACCTCGCTTTGTGCACGGGGGGCATTGTCATGCTAAAACAGGAAAGGGCCTTCCCCAAACTGTTGCCACAAAGTTGGAAGCACAGAATCATCTAGAATGTCATTGTATGCTGTAGCGTTAAGATTTCCCTTCACTGGAACTAAGGGGCCTAGCCCGAACAATGAAAAACATCCCCAGACCATTATTCCTCCTGCACCAAACTTTACAGTTGGCACTATGCATTGGGGCAGGTAGCGTTCTCCTGGCATCCGCCAAACCCAGATTCTTCCGTTGGACTGCCAGATGGTGAAGCGTGATTCATCACTCCAGAGAACGCATTTCCACTGCTCCAGAGTCCAATGGCAGCGAGCTTTACACCACTACAGCCGACGCTTGGCATTGCACATGGTGATCTTAGGCTTGTGTGCGGCTGTTCAGCTATGGAAACCCATTTCAAGAAGCTCCCGATGAACAGTTCTTGTGCTGACGTTGGTTCCAGAGACAGTTTGAAACTCGGTAGTGAGTGTTGCAACCGAGGACAGACGATTTTTACGCACTTCAGCGGTCCCGTTCTGTGAGCTTGTGTGGCCTACCACTTTGTGGCTGAGCCGTTGTTGTTCCTAGACGTTTCCACTTCACAATAACAGCACTTACAGTTGACCGGGGCAGCTCTAGCAGGGCAGAAATTTGATGAAGTGACTTGTTGGAAAGGTACCATCCTATGACGGTGCCACGTTGAAAGTCACTGAGCTCTTCAGTAAGGCCATTCTACTGCCAATGTTTGTCTATGGAGATTGCATGGCTGTGTGCTCGATTTTATACACCTGTCAGCAATGGGTGTGGCTGAAATAGCCGAATCCACTAATTTGAAGGGGTGTCCACATACTTCTGTATATATAGTGTATCTCATTATGTTCAGTAATATCACTTTGGGGAAAGAGAAATGTACGTCAAGTGATTGAAATATTACAGGGTGCAAGTGCAACCATGATTATGTGTACAGGACACAGTAACTATGATGACACTGTCTGATAGAAACCAAGCTGAAGACCACATTTTTTAAAGTCTCAACATTCTGTCCTAGGACACCACAGAATGTGCTGTATTTGAATCAATTTTTCTCCCCCACCAGAACTGTAGTAGACAATCTTTTAAATTTAACCACTCAGATGCATTTATGTCATTTAGCAGACGCTCTTATCCAGAGTGACTTACATTATTTATTTTTCATACCCCCAACCCTGGCGTTGCAAACGCCATGCTCTATCAACTGAGCTACATCCCTGCAGGTCATTCCCTCCCCTACCCTGGACGACGCTGGGCCAATTGCGCGCCGCCCCATGGGTCTCCCGGTCACGGCCGGCTACGACAGAGCCTGGATTCGAACCAGGATCTCTAGTGGCACAGCTACCACTGCGATGCAGTGCCTTAGACCACTGCGCCACTCAGGAGACATATGCAACTTTGAAACATTTTGTAGGGTGCTGGAGGAAACACAACAGAATGTCTGTGACAAAAAGTAATTGTAGCCCTGTGATTATAGGTTATCTTAAATAATTCCCTTTTATTTGTAGAATCATGGTTTCAAAAGTGGTACTCTTTGCAAACACTATATTCTAATACAAAAT